GCCTCTTGGACTGCCATTTTATTTCAACGTTTTGTCACTTTTTGTTTATATCTATTTAAATATCATTACGTTTAACGAGTACCCAGGTTTGCTGCTTTAAGGAGGCTAATAAAGTGTGATTTTAGGAAACTATTAATAGCTGAGTATAAACAAATTGACCAAGTTTGATCAAAATATATCCATACACAAGCAAATTCCAAAAGTTTTTCTATAAGAATAACATGGGAATATTTAATTTACAATTTGTTGAATTTTTTCTGTAACTAATAACATTATTAGTTAGTAACTAATAACTAATAACATACAAAAACATTTTAATATACAAAATTTTTTTGTTTTTAAGGTCGTTAAAATTGTCTAGATATAGAGATATTGGGAAATTTTGTGTTTTACGGGTCAAAAATGACAAAACCCCTTTTTTACTCCATAAACCCCATTCCCAAGGTCCGTTCATACTGGTTCGCAAACTCATTCAAGTTTATCCCTCTCTTCACCTTTAAGCCAAATTTCATCAAAATCGGACAAAAAGACATAGTTATCGAGTTAAGGACATATATATATATAATATTTAAATCTACATGAACGGGTTGTGTTTTTGGCCTCTTGGGACATCAAATCAAAAAAGTAGATTGTTCCCGGGTCCAGGTCTTACCATGTGACATATGGTAATAGAGTATTCCCTATATTCACGCACATGTCGAAAGAGAGCGTCTCAGATGCTAGCCGCCTAGTATAATGCGCCACATTTGAACCAATGCCCACAACCGATTTTGTGCATCCCAGGAGGCAAAAAGTCACTGGATGCTTGAATTTCAGTCTCCCAGCTGGGAGGCACAAAATCAAGCGTCCGGTGGCTTTTTTAGCATCCGACGCTGGTATCCCTAGTATAATCGCCCCCATTTTATTTAATGCCCCACTAGCGTCCCGGACGCCAGCGTCCCAGTATAATCCTACCCTAAAAAAATCATCACCTTTTTAAAACACCCCAGGATCAATGTCATCACTTAATATTAAATACTAGCGCACCTGTTGATCAAATTTGAGCAATTGCAAATTATTACAGGCGTTATTTTAAAACGAATAACACATTCGGTCATAATTTCCGATGAATTAAAACAGTCAACTCAAAGATAATGTAATCAATCACTCCACTCCAATTATCGAAACTGAAAACGAACTCACTCTGAAAACGAACGCTCCTGTGTATATCATGTGTTTACTATGAACAGCTGTTTTAGAATGCAATTAATACAAATTATTCGTCTGTTTAAGTAAACAAAATATTTTCTTCATAAGTAATACATTGGGGTGATCGCCTGTGGGGCAAAGCCCGAGGACATTTATTACAGGAATTGGGGAAAGGGGGCGTCTACACAAAAAATACTTAATTTTGACACATCGTTTGTAAAAATCCGTCTATTATTAACGGAGGAGTAGTGTTTCGTAGAAATCGCCTTCACGTATTATATATAAGGATGACTCACAACTTATCAAGAAAAAGACCAGCACAAACTTTTTGGGTTGAACAATAGTTGAATTAGAATGATCATAGGCCTATAAATAAAATAGTTTTTAAAATCAACTCTGAAAATTTCCCATTTAAAAAGTATCTCCTTACTGTAATGTCAAAACATTGAAAAATATTTACTTTGCGTTTAAATACCTCCTTTAGTGTCTATTTGGAGCGACAACTAAAATAAATTTAGATGAAATAATAACACCCCTGCTGCAGCAAACCTAAAGGAAATTTTCATTTACCTGGCTGGATTTCCACTAAAATATTCCCTTGTCAGTTAATAATATAGGGAAGGTAATAAGGTGTGGTTTTTAAAATTAAAATGTTGATATGAAATAAATAAATTTGACAAATTTGATTAAAATAAATTTTATAGTGACTGTAGGAAAAATATAATGTGTAACACGAGTGCAAAAGGCCTTTGCTGCACTCGAGATCATTCCGCACAAGCCGCAGGCGAGTGCGTAAACATTGCTCTCATAAATAGTTACATAAATAACTAATCTATATCTATATAGGCTTAATATTTACACAACACATATCAATCGCATTAACTGTACCGAATTTAAAACAAAACAAAAGGAAAATTTCTCCCAGTTTAAAATTATCATCCAGACTATAAAAGTGGTTTTTAAGAGGATAATTATAAAACAAAGGCTTAAATTTGTTAATTGAATGATTTTTATATTATCTTTTACTGAATTGTATTTGTATACTTTAATTGATAAAATCTTAACAGATTTTAACAGTCCAGTATTTTTTAAACTAGTGTTGTGATTGTGTTTATTAAAATGAAGATATTCAGAGTTTTTAATAATATAAATAATCAGATAAATGAACAAACTTACTGCAGTTTGAATTTTCAGATCTATAAATACCCTGCTGCAGCAAACCTGCCGACTACGTGAATTTATATTTGTCTCAATTGGTTTTCAGTTCTAATTAAATAACATTAGGTTTAACGAGTACCTAGGTTTTCTGCTACAAGGAAACTAATAAAGTGGGTATTTTTAGTAAAATATTAATAGCTTAGTATAAAATAATGAATTTGACAAGTTTGATGAAAATATATTTATAAACAAGCATACAACATTTTACAACATTCTCTATAAAAATAACATGGACATTTTAAATTTAAGATTTTTCCAGTTTTCTTTGTGACCAATAACCATACAAAATCACTTTGATATACTATATCATTTGTTTTTTAAGCTCTTTAAAAAGGTCTAGAGAGAAATTGGGAAATTTTGTGTTTTGAGAGTAAAAAAATGAAAAAATACAATTTTTACCCCATAAAATCCCCTGTTCCCATGGTCCGATCATGCTGGTTCGCGAACTCTAAGGTTATCCTGCCTTACACCTTTAAACCAAATATCATCAAAATCGGACAAAAATTACTCATGTTATTGCATTTACGGACGTATGTATGTACATATATATATATATAAATTCGAACAAATGCCGTTTTGATGTCTAGGGACATTAAAATGAAAAAGTAAATCGGTCCCGGGCCTATGTCTTACCGTGCCACCTACGGTAATAGCTAATTCGCTTAAAGAGGTTAGTAATGCTCAGGGTGCGTCCCAGTCATAGCATTAAAGAGCCCTTTTCTTTTATTCCACTACCACCCCAAAGCACCAATCCATATCTCACAAGTGACTGGAAGTATGTAAAATTTGCCGTCCTTAATATTTCATAGGAACATGATTTACAAGACGTTTTGAAAGGTATACTACACAAGACAATCTTGAAGATAAATAATCTAAATTCAAATTGATTATCAATATGAAGGCCCAAAAATTTCACAGCTGTGGTATTATTTACATCGCAGTTAGTGGGAATCAGTTTTAGTGTAAAAATCACGTTTTGGGTGTTTTCTTCATTTAGCAAAAAGCCATTAGTGTTAAACCAATTTTATGCATTTAGATTTGTTTCATAAACAAGATTTTTAAGTTCTGTTAGGTTGGGGTTTACATGAAACAAAGGTGTATCGTCAGCATAAAGAATATTTTTACTGTTCACTGCCAATGGACGGTCATTAAAATAAATTTAAAATAAAATTGGTCCAAGGACTGAGCCTTGTGGAACACATCACTTACAATTCTTGTCTTGTGACATATTACAGTTACTTGCTATTTAATTTGTTTACGATTGTTTAGGTAAGATAAAAAGAATTTTAGAGATGGCCCTCGAAACCCATAATTTTGTAATTTCATAGTAAGAATTTTAAAATCAACATAATCAAATGCCTTGCTTAGGTCATTTTCAAATGATTCATGAATTTGACGAATTAGATTATCAAGAGCATTATTATTATTATTTTATGGCCATCATTGGACCACTTAAGTCAATATAATGGTCAGGTTCTTTTTAAATTCTGTCTCTTCTTCTTGTCCGCCCAATACTTCTTCATTCTTTCTGACCGTTGTTTTCTTTCTTCTTCCGAAACCACTCTTCCTTGTCTCTGATTGTTTGCTCCTTTTGGCAGGATGATATTTTTGACTTTGAGTACTGCAAGCGCCTCTGACTTATTTTCCAAATCTTCTAATGAGAGCATCATTAGTGGACATTCCCTTTCTAAATCCAAATTGGGATACATTTATCAATTTGGTCTCCTAAAAGTACTCATTAACTTGTTCAAAGACCAAGATGTCAATTAATTTACCAACTACCGGAATTACTGAGATAGGACGATAACTTTGGAGCTTATCTCTTTACCTTCTTTTAGACTGGACAAACACATGAGACTTTCAACAACTCTGGCACAATTAGCAAGAGGTACATTTAATTCATAACAAATATTTTTAGTTAATTATTTGACATTCTCATGATGGAATGGCCTCTAGAACGTCTGAAAAAACTAATATAGGTTTTAATTACCTGTTTTCTGTCAAAACGATCAGTTTGGTAGTATGATGACTACAGCTGTTTCATGCTTTTTAAAAATAGCACATCTTCAGGTCCAGAATGTCTTGCTAATCCCTCATGTGGAGTTTGTCAAAAATATATTTGACATTCAATAAACATTATCACTTTTTGAGTTTTTTATATGTAGAATAATTTTCCAACTAAATACAACATTGTTTAAATTAATACCAGCATCAGTAAAATCTATTGATGAGCTCTGAATTTTTGCGTTACCAAGCTATAGTTTAATATCAGGACCAACCTGAGATCGAGTTAACAGACCTGAGCATTTATTTCAGTAAATGACGATTTTGTCTTGATCGCAATTGATGTTCACGGTTTTGTCATAAAGTCGGAAGATGTCCACAATTTCAACGTGATTGCAGAAGATGTTCTTTATTTTACCGAGACTGCAGACAATGATTTTGCTATGGCCATTGAAGATTTTCTTGAATCTGCCTTAACTGTGCCGTCACGGCTTATTTATTGAGTGGCAACTGAATATATTATTTTGAAACCATTTCATCGTCTGTAGCAAAATAATGAATGCATGTTTACTTAAACACTTGTATTTTAGGTGGATGAGAAGACGAGAGAGCAAATGTTCAAGCTACGTCAAACGTGGAGTGATGTTTTTCCTCAAAAGGTGATTTATGCTTTGGACGCCAAGGTTCATCAAATAGACCCTGCCTGGCCTCTTGGCTCTCCGCCATCAACTGTCCACCTCAATCCAAAATTCTTCAAACCAGATGTTCTGGTAAGTTCCTATTCATTTCCATGCTTGTTATAATACACACGGATGGCTTTTATGTCAATACCCCTAACTAATTGTGGACTGCTGCTCTAATTTGTTATTAATAAGTTAAAATTCTTAGCATTGATTAAAAACCGTCCATTGATGAAGTCCTCAAGTAGCCCCACTAATAATATTTAAAAGCTACTTTTTCATCAAACAATTTTATTTTGGGTAACTATTTGTTTTGTTTGGTTTTGATCACCCATTCGAGCTCTGGATTTCTTTTACCATTGCTGAAAACATTTTTTTTTCTTTACTTGTTTAAACATTTAAAACTCCTATATAAATTTCAAGCCATCCTCCAAAAGTCAAATGAAGCAATTGTTTTTTAAAGGATTCCAAATTAACATCTCCAACTAAACAACCAGAACAGAATAGAACTGAAAGTCGGTCTCACCACAGAAAAAACAAGACTTACAGCCGTCAAAACCATAATGTATCCAAATCTACGCGTTCCAAAAAGGTAAAGTGGTTTTGAACTCTGCATGGTGGGGTTGGGAGGCAATACTGTGTGTATATTATTCTTGGCTTATTGTATGGTAAAATCAACCATTCATTGTTGATCTTGGTTACTCGCTGTCTATTTGTAAAAAAAAATACCAATTTAAACTAACATTGTACAGTTTTTATAGTTATTTCTATAGATTTTTTAAACCTTGTTCGACTAGGAACCTGTGGAGATAATTGAAGCCCGTCTTTGACTTTTCTTCAACTTTAAATTTATAGTTTTTTTCAAATCTTGTACATCTAGAGACTGTCTTTAAAAAACCGGGGGTTATTAAAAATATATCAGAATTAACCATGGAAGTGATTTATTTTTTAACTCTTATTTATAAGTGCTTGCATGTACATGCTTTATTCTAGCATAGAAAAAATTTACAGTTTTTTCTTTTTTATTTTACTTCCTTCTTCTATTCTGTCTTAGTCAATGCATGATTTGTATCTGGGTTACTATAAACCACACTAAGGCTAATTAATTAGTAAATGCTGTAAGATGACCGTTTTTTTTTTTTTAAGTATATTACATTGTTATGGATTCTTGCTGTATTATAAAATTTGATTTTACCTTCTATTTTCACTTATTTGTTATTTTACCAAATTAATGCACAAATCAGTTACTTAGTGTACGCAAATGAGTCACCGTGCATGCACAAATCTGCTGTCTGAGTGCACAAATCAGTTATTAAGCATACACAAATGAGTTACCGTCCATGCATAACGCTGTGTGAGTGCACAAATCAGTTATTAAGTGTACACAAATCAGTCACTATGCATGCACAAATCTTCTGTCTAGGTGCACAAATCAGTTACTAAGTGTACACAAATCAGTCACTATGCATGCACAAATCTTCTGTCTGAGTGCACAAATCAGTTATTAAGCATACACAAATGAGTTACCGTCCATGCACAAATCTTCTGTGTGAGTGTACAAATCAGTTATTGTGCATACACAAATCAGTCACTATGCATGCACAAAGCAGTTACAATGCATACAATAAGGAGTCACTATATTATGTATACACAAAGTAGTTACCATGCATCCACCAAGTTGTGTGAGAACACAAAGCAGTCTTTGTAAACTGCAAGGCATGGTTGCACCTTAGCCCAGGCCAATCTTGATGATCAGACAGATACGGGACCTACAGCTTGTCAGATTAACAAGAATTTTGGTTTACCAAGGATATCATTCTAAATGCCCAGTGTCAAAAAGAAAGATTAAAAAATTAACACTTTATTTAATTAACATATGAGATATCATAACATTGTTTCTTGATATTTATGAATTTCAAAGACTATTATAGTTTTTTTTTTTTTTTTTTTTTACTTGTGTAAAGTAGTTAACTGTATGTAGACTTGTAAAAATAAGATAACCCAAAAGATGTAAAAGGCACTCGGCATTTTAAAAAGTCTAGAAGAGTGTTCTTTCTAGTGTACTAACAGACTCCTAGAAAACCAGAATTATGCGTGAATTGGTTTTACTGATAAAAATTGGTAATTGTGTATTAATTTTAAAATTTCACCAGGAGAACCTGATTGTTGTAATATGGATCTATGACAAATTTAGAAGGACATGTTGTATTTGCTTGCGTAAACGCTCATGAATCTCCGTTAAGCTACGAAACACCTAACTGTTTAAACATCGTGAACATCATCTATTGCCATTTTTGCAGACATTTTCTTTTAGCGTGTTTCCCATATGCTATAAATAAGCTATTACCGTAGGTCTCATGGTAAAACTTGGACCTGGGACTGATTTACTTTATCGTTTTGAGGTCCCCAGAGGCCCAAAACACCATCCGTTTAAATTCATATTTATATATGTGTCCGTTAGCAGATAACTAACGGATTCAATGATACACCGGATAGTATAAATCTGGAAATCACAACCGGTAAAATGTGCGATTTTTCCAGGAGTTCTGTTGCCATCCTGAATAATGCAATTTTGAAGTATTGCAATCAACAGAATAGGTAAAAGCAGAGTACAGATTTCACAGGGACATTGTGAAACAAACTGTCTGTAGAGCTATGAGTGGGAGTTTTTAGTGTTAAAATGATTTGAGTGTGTATAGAGAGGATATTGTTTGTTTGCAGTCGTCACCCACCAGCACCAGTGGTACTGACAACATTGCCCCAGCCCCACCTGCAGTGCCAGCCAAACCTTCCCCCACTCCAGAGCAGCTGAGGGAGCAGATGATCATGAAGCAGAAGATGCTGCTGGAACTGCAACAACAGAAGCTCAAGTTGGAACTGCTGCAAACCCAGGCTCAGATAGAGGAGCAAGCGAAGCAGTTGGAGCGACACTCTAGCAACAACAAGACATCACACGAGATATCGGTAAACTATTTAGCTAGCTCTACCAATCCCTTCAGCCAGGTAGAAAGGGTGACTCAGGCAACCAAGCGAGTTAGTTTTCTAAAACATGCAATCAATTTTTCAAAGGAGTCCTAATTTTATTCACTAAATGCTTAGAACTTTTAACCTGCTTTGAACATAAACTTAGTTTCACATAAATCTTGTTACAAAACAAATAAAATTGGAAAGCCAATGTTTTTCTCAATCTTAAAAAAATAATAATAATAAATAAATGGGAAAGCCTAGTACTACAAAAAATTAACTTATGAACTTATTGGTTGCTGTAATCAGTAGCCATCAGTAGCTGGTGGTCAATGAAGTAAACAAAGTCACTCTATTCTACCTGCAAAAGATGGACCCCTTATGCTATATTTTGTATAAAGTATGGAACTTGCTTTCTTTTGCAATTAATTGTGCCTAATCCATTTGTGTATAATTGGGAGTCTACTATAGTTCAGCTGTAACTAAATATTTCTGATTCAAGATTTGATTCTGGAATACCCCCAATCAAATTTTGAATCTGAATTTTCTGTTATATTTGGTGTATTTGAGATTTAAGATTTGGCTTCAACATATCACAAGTTAAAACAAACTTGACTAAATCAGTTTGTATGATGCAGCCTTACTGTAAACCAAAATATTCAGATTATAAACCCCCAAGAATTAAACATAGACCAAAACAATTATGATGGTTTAGTTGATTGTTTCTGTTGATAGTTGTGTAATAATGTATATTGTTTTCAGAAATTACAAGATATCCTAAAGAAAGAGGAAGAAAAGCTGAAACAGATGAACAAGAATTTAAAGAAACACTCCCAAAAGTTTCCTAATAGACAGCAGATTGTGCGAGTCACCAGTAATATGAAAGCTCAAAAGGTAAATAGAGTAATATTTTATCAAAATACACACACTTGACTTGTAAGTTCACATTTTTATAAAAGAAAAAATCCTTGCTGGGTTTATGTGCGGAACGTCTTATTAAAAATTTGCACAGGGTTTGATTCACATGGCACAGTACCTTAGTTTTCTGAAGAAAAAAAACTCACTCTGGCCAGTTTCTGTCTTCTTTGCCAGGGACTTTTAGTATAAATATAACTGAAGCACATCTGAACATATGTGCAACTGTGATATTACATAGGTAGTGTGAATTGGCATCCACAACCTCATTTGGTGCATTGGTTTATGAATGCATAGCAATCTACTGCAAATGAGTTCATACAACCTTCCACTCATCAGTGACAGTATTGCCTAGGCTGGAATTTTTGTTGGACTCTCTGTACCGTAGTAACTGAGTGCTGTCCAAAAAATAGTCATTGTAAGGTTAGTAGAAATACTGCTAAAACATACATTTAAAAGGGGTGATAAATAAAAACAATACTATTCATCTGTGTTCTTCCCCTTTTCACTCCAGGCAATTTTTTTATGGGATTCCTCTTTAACTTCTGCAATATACAATGGCAATCGCCAAAATATCGTTGTTTCACCCTACATTGTGATTTGAACCTAATCCTTTTATAATTTAACTTAATTGAGGCTAATTCTGAATGTGAATGCATCAAAATTATCGGGTTTCTCTCTCTCTCTGATATCCGATATATCGGAAAATGGAGTGAAAGGGGTTAATTTCTCTGAATGTCTCACCTCGGTCAGCCGCCTACAAACCCTGTCATAAACGCCTGGAAATCTTATTCTTAAACAGTTGGAAAACTCCTTAGACCGAAGCCATGGATTATTGAATGTGCCAGATTATCAAGCAGAAACTAAATCAGTGACATTTTACTGTAGCTTGTGTGTACTTTGGAATTAGGTTGTGATACACTTTTAGTAGGGTTAAAACTATAACATGTTTTTATGATTATTAACTGCATAATAAATGTCTATGAAATGTAAAATGTAATACCACTATCAGCGGGAATGTTACATCTTTTTGGCTTATTTGTTTCAGGTGACTGACCTTAGCAAGGTGACAGGAGCAATGCCTGAGAGTCTGGTCAAACCAGCTGCACTCCTGGAACTGAACCAAGACGACAAACCCAAGCCATCAGTCAAACCTTCCTCACGTCCCAGGATAGTCTTGCCATTGCCCACCATGGTGAGTAGTGTTGTAGATCAGCTTCAGGTTCTATACAAAGTTTATTGTATTGACAATTTTAAAACCGGATGTAAATAACATGCTCGGAAACATGTCTTGGCTTAAGATATTTTAGATTCAATACAATCGACAATTGATCGTTAATGCTAAATTAAATAAATTCACATGTAATCTTATTACATTAAGAAACAAATACAAATAGATACTTCCTACAACCAGTTTTAATCCTTTTGATTTTTTAATGGTCCATATATATACACCATAGCCCCCCTAGTCCAAACTAATTGGTATCAAACACTATTTTGATTACTAAATGTTTGGATTAGTTAGAAAATTGTTTAAAAATTTTAAAAACATATCTGCTGACTGTAAATGGCCATATATTGCTCCCGTGATCACAACAACACCTTGACCGTCCCCCGTGATCACGGCGACACTGTGGTCATTTCCCAAGATTCAGAGACACCGTAATTGTCTTCCCCAATTGTGGAAATATCTGAGATTATCAATGGATTGTTTCATTTTTGTTGTGGTGTTTCCGTACCAATTGATTGACAATAAATTAAAAGGCTAAATACCTGATTGTCGCCTTCTGGTCCAAGGTTTGTAGTACAGGATTATGCGCATTTCGGCATGAGCGCCATCGTCAGATCGGTATAAGAACTGTAACTAATATTCACCGAAGAGGTGCGTTGAAAGTTCACAACACAAAAAAAACACAACAAACACTGGTCGACCATTATTTAACATAGTTTTACTTTATTGTCACGCGTGCACAGGCAAAATATGGAGGTGCGCCAGACATGTTTCGAGACTCGACTGAAGACTGGAGTTTGTCGTTATCTAACCAGTTACCTTAACCCCCCACCCCCACCCCACCCTAAAATATAGTTCTAGGACCGCTCTTACTTACTACTTGATGACCTAAAACGATAACCAACAGAATGTTGATCATAAATATATACTCGGCCCTAGGCTATTGGCAATTATTCCAAATTTATCTGTTTATGCGCAATTCACTGGCTTTTCACGTACAGTTCATAGTTTGCTGGTTGACTGGAACCCTGGTTGTAATTTCCAAACACAGAGCTTCTGTGTTTTTTTTTTAATACTGCAACTTTTTTCCTAACAGGTGGTTTGGATTTGTGGGACCATGGCCTAGATAACTATACTGTAGTTCCTAGATAAGTATAAACCTCATGCCCTAACCTCAAGGGTATATAAATTATCATCATGGGGAGTTGTAGACAAAATATGCTAATGACACTTAGTGAATTTTTTTGTTGAATTTAAGAGATAGTAACAGAAGAATCAGAACCTTGTTTATAGTAGTTGAAAACGTTAAAAATGTATTGCAATCAATATTTCTTTTCAGGACAAACAGAAGGTGATCACACCAGCTGATTCTACAGAGGATGCTGTGCCTCCAGTTCGTATCGCTCCAGTGAGCTCTCAGCTTATTAATGCAGCGTTGTCATTTGGCCGCAATGTACGAGACCCCAGGATAAGACAAATGTCCTCTCGCTTGGAGTCTCAGCTGAACACTGTAACTCCTACAACTACAACTCCTACCCACCCCCCACTTACCTCTGCACCACCACCACCAACATCCGTGCCTGTGTCTGATAACAAACCTCACGATAGGTATAGTGGGAAGGACAAAAAACCCAGTAATCAACATAAAGAAAGACCTTCTAAACATCCTGAACAAGAGAGTAAATCTCATTCAAGGTCCTCTAGTCGAAGTGGGGATAAGTCTAGTAGATCAAAAGAGAGGGACAAAGACAAGACGTCTCCTAAAAGATCAGAAGCCAAAATTAGCAGTAGTAGAAGAGCCAGAATAGAGGGATTGTTTTCAGATTCCATGTCAAAATCGCCACTAGATGCAAAAGTTTCATCAAGTGCACCTCATTCTCTCCAGCAGTCACATCTGAATCAAGATCAAAATTCTAGAGTAGAAACCTCTGAAGCTGGACCAAAGACAGTATACTCTGAAAGAATGTCAAAAACAGAGTCTAGTCCTAAAAGGACGAAATTCCAAGACAAAAACAATGATGTCGACAGTTATTTGAATTCAGAACCACCCACAGATAAGTCAAAATCATCAGCTGATATTATTAAAACTCAAGTGAAACCAACTGGAATTCCTCCCCCAAAAGTTTCCCCTGAGGCAATGGATAGCAGTAGTGAAATGAAAGATGAAGATATTGAAAAAATTGTTAAACATCCTGGATATTCCAAATCAAAGCCTTTGGATAGTAAACTGAATGAAACAGAAAAAGGAGAAGCACAAGAAATACTAGAATCCACTGAAGAAACCGATTATGATATGAATGAAATAGTCCGTAATCCTAATAAACAATTAAAGGTTGATAGAAGAACAAATGATGACAAAGTAAAACAAAAATCTTTGATGTTTGGCAGTCCTAAAAAGAAAAAAGATGAAAAGGATTTAACTAAAGTATTTGTGGCAAAACAGGAGACTATGGTGGATTCTGAATGTCGTACAAGTGTTGACACATTTTCAAAAGACAACCATTTTACAGAATCATTTACTTCAGAGAAGCAATCAGTTTCCAAGGTTCCTGAAAATGTAATCACAAGGCAATCATCATTATTGGAACAATCCAATATTTACAAAGATCATAAATCTAACACTGAATCTAACATTGGTTCTAGTTCTTCTGAGCTGCCTACAAATAAATTTGGTTTTGCAGAATATGTTGATAAAGAATCTGAATCTGAATCGATATCAAACCTCATTGAACAAGATGAAGTTTCTTCTACAATTAACACATTTTCATTCCAAAATGACATCAACAAATCTTTTATCCAAGAAGAAGTTGTATCTACAGAAACCACTTCAGTTGAAATAGAAGAATATGTTCCAATGGATGTAGAAGCGCAGTCGGTAGAAAATCTGACACCAACAGAATCTGTACTAATCTCTTCTGAAGGTACCGAGTCAGTTCCGATAGTTAAAACAAATGACAGATTAACTCTAAGCCCCAAAAAAGTCATGAGTCCAATTAGAAATGTAGAGCCAATGGAGACTATTGTTGAAGTCAGTGAAACACAAATTGGAGAGCTAACATCTTCAAAAAAATCTGAGAAAAGACCAAACACTTCTTCCATTCAACAGGAAAAAAAGTCGAAGAAGGGAGATAAACCGAGCTTGATGGAGCAAGTGATTGCTGATGCTGAAAGGCACGAGGCGTCCCCCTCTCCTCCCCCACCTCCTGTCATCAGTGACAAGTTCAAGGGGATCAAACAGAGCTCACTGAGTCGTCTGCGTAGAGTCGGTCGTTCTCGCGAGGATCTTGAATCACCAGAACCTGCCGATGTAGATCTCCGCACACAAATCGCTCCTCTGCCAACTCTCACTAAAGATCTCAAAAGTAAGCTTTTATTGATAGTATTCATATTTTTGGCTATGCAGGATATTATGGATACTTTGTTTCACAAATTAAATACTTTAACTAAGGTGTTGTGTCTTTTTTAAGACGTTTGTGGAACATTGCAGCAATCCTCCCCATTCTCCTTTTGACTTAAGACTTATTGTATAATACTTTTAGAGACAATGATTTGTCAGACAAAAGTACAACAAGAAAAATTTTGTCTAACTTCTTGTTAACAAGGCAAATAAGTAATCAAGGGAAACTTTAGTGAACTGTAGCTAAAAAAGCTAAGGCTAATCCGGATAGTAAGAACTTGCATTGCCCATCAGTCTTATAATTCAATTCTAAATTTGTCATATTGAACTTTTAGGAAATGAAAAAGTCTATGGTTTAGAACTAAATGCTACTTGACACTACATTCTCCTTAATTTCTGTGCAATATCATTCTACGATAGGAGGGTATTGCTCCTCTCAAAAGTATTGTGTTCCCATTATGATGCAGATTGTTAGTAGGTTGAGGCTGCTAGGAAATATTTCAGAAAATTGTCAATAAAAATTAAAAAATCAATTGAAAATCAATAATTATTCAAAAAACAAAAACAATTAATTGAATACACAATTTAACTTCTTATGGCTGGTATGAAATTTATATTTGATTAAACCAATCCCTGACACACTCCAAATTGTTAATTGGTTACAAGTATAAAATTGTGTACCAAAGTTGATCTCGTCATTTGTTCAGTGCTTGTTGTGCCAGACTGTAAAATATTTCATACAAATTTACATTTTCGCTCATCACCTTAAGTCCCTTCCTAGTTGCTGCTGCTTGTATCACTGGATTGGTGCAGGGTTTCCATGTTTTTACAAAACTTATGTATTTGTGATATAATTAACATATCTGTGATATAAATGTGAGACATCCATTTTTTTATGTAATTATATGTTATAGTAGATTATTTTTTACTTTTCATTGGTGTTAGTGTTTGTGATATTTTTTTAAATTGTTGTTTTAAACATGTTCAAAAGTTATGTAACATAAACTAATAAAAAACTACTTGTGTATTATACTTTCCTTTCGGTGTGTTAAAGGTTCATATTCTTAGCACAAGGAATTACCAACAAGTTTTTCTGCTTTAAGAGTTGGTGTATCATAGCAGGTCATGTCACTTGTGTATAAAGGATTGGGACTATCCACAATAATCTGTGTTTCTCATTGTAGTTAATTGCAAAATACTATTTATTATCTTATGTTTTGTTATATTTAATGGTTTTTTTTTTGTTGAATCTGATCATAAAAAAACATTTTTACTCTGAAATTTACCATGTTAGAACTTTTCTCTGGAATTATCATCGATTATTTTTTATTATGCCTGTAGTTTGGAATTGATAATAATTTCCAGTATATATATATTCATTTTTATTTCATACAGTTATTTTTGGAACTTAAACTAATGATCACATTTAAGTTTGTTTTTATATTAATGCACGTATTATTGTTGATAAACTTGGTGCAGCATTACCAATTAATATATGAAGTCAAAACTTACCAAATATATACATAACTCAAAATAAGGCCATTTTTGCTTTCTTAAAATATTTTGAAATATACCTAGTGACAGGTTTCAAATTGTTCAAATTGGTTATTTTGATGCATCAAGAAGATTTGAGAAAACAAACACAACACTATTAGACCTTTTTAACTCATGTAAAAATACTTAAGAAGATGTTCGGAGAATTAAATCATGGACATTAGTGATATATATTGTTGGTCTCAATATAGGTCAATATAGCAACCTAACTAAAAAAACAAGCTACTTCCTCAAGAGTTCAGTGAATCTGCTGTAATACAAAGAAGATCACCGATGAAATAATCTTGGCATTTGATTAAATAATTTTCAACATGTGATGAAGAAAAGGATTTAAAACATAACTCTTCAAAAATTGTAGAAAGTATCCTACTCGAAAACATGCGATTTTGAAAAAAAAAACATAATAACAAGTGTGAACTTAGAAAATAATATGAAAACAAATACTGTATGTCATAATTCAAAAACTATCTCAGAAGATTTTTAATAAACCAGGGGACCTTTTACATAAATCCCCTATACACCTGTCTGCACCCTTTTCCCTAAAAAGTTTCCTCTATTTTTCTTTGCCTACCATAATACTCCAGGAAGTCTACACAGTTTTCCATGTTTCCATTGTTTTTTTTTTGTTACTTTTGCCATCTATTTAGAAATTTTTCAATTTATTCTTAAAAAATTAGAACCGAGAATGTACATAGTCAATAATATAACTGAATATGAATATAACACTAATACTTTGAAAACTGGTTGGGCACAATGGCATTTCATATGTATATGATTTAATATTCGTAAGAGAGCTGAGGCTTTTTATCAAGAAGTAGAAGGCTTAAAGTGACAAATTATCAAATTAAAGCCATAACATGTATATTGAATGTAATTCTCGAGCTTACAGAAGGTAAATAGCTAAAAAAAAGTAAATTTTTTTGAATAAAAAAACAACTCATCTTAGCAAATAGTTTCAATCCTTGACGAACTTGTGAGGTGAACAGTAGAAATGAGTGGCATATCCTTCAGGATCATGATAAAGAGAGGTCTTTTGTAATAACATGGTTCATTCATGGTTGTTTGTACTATAATGTTGAAGTCCCAAAGATTACATGTTTCATGTTTTTCTACATAAAATGTCTTGGAGGGGTGGGATTTCTTCCACCTAAAAAAGTGCAGTGCACAGATATACCTTGATGTAAAAATTGTTTTAGTATCGGTGCAGGACTTGTTTGACGGAAAAGTATAGTTACAGTAGACCCCCTCTTAACCGACCTCGTATTAACCGATAATCGGATTATCCGCCTTTGATCGTAAAATAATACAGTTTGTTTTAACCGACCTTGCTTTGAGAGCAGCTCGGTTTAACCGCCGCTTTCTAGGAATCTCGGCATTTCCGCTCCCACGCTGGGCAATGAGAACTGAACCATACGCTTATCTCCACAGGATATGACTAACAATAAGTTTTCTTGTGAAGATCACAAAAAATATAGCATAGCCTATTGTCAGTTTGTCATCATCGTACGTAGCTCGAGCACATCTGATCTGATTTGTTATCTGTGCGGCAAATTTATAACATCATAAAGTGCGTTACGATTTTGAGAACTGATTATCTTATCGCTGGAGTAAACAAACAACGCAACTTGTAGGGAGGGCAGGGAAGGGGTGTTAACAACTCCAAGGTCAAGATAGTTTTTTTGCCTCGAGCCTCCAGTGAGAGGCTATAAATAAACGTCCTGTCTTGTAACAAAATGGTCGCTTGTATCTTTAATGACGACAAAAGGTTCTGTACTGTATTACGATGTATTTGGAAAGCATTAATTATTACATTACAGTAGTAAAGTTATTGAAATAGGAATTTTATTGACTCTTGCCTAGTATTATAATATATTCTACTGAAAGTAGGCCTATTTGACTTAACCGTGTTTTGTGTTTATTTGTGACATTTCTATCAATATGAAAAAGGAGATAAGAGTAGTTTATTTTATAAATAATGCAAGTATGACTTCAAAATAATGATTATATAATTCCAAATGAATAGCACTTTATTATGTTATGATTTTAGGGATTACCCGTTTTATCCGACCTTTTGAGTCATCCGACCTAGGTCCGGTCCCATTTGGGTCGGTTAAGAGGGGGTCTACTGTATTGCTATTACACGTTCTATTACTACTAATAAAATGTGTGTTAAAGAAAAAACGCTTTTCTTTAATTCTGCATTATAGTAATACTAGACAAAAATGTCATTGGTTTTAGTTTGATTGGACCTACTCATGTGGCTGTAGTTCAAGGCACTATCAAGAAAATGTGTTGATCTTAGCACACTTTTACACATGACAACACATGTAATGGGGTCCTTGCTTGATTGAGCGGCTTTAACATAATCTGATCTTGCCATTTCTTCTTCATTCTGGATGTTAAGTACTTTTTTCACAATGTCTGATTCTGTCAGTTCACCACAATGGCCTTAAAGGCCACATGTTCTTCAAACACCAATCCCTTGACATTAAGTGACCCAGTAACTTGCAGCCATATCTACTGGACTCATGTCTTGCGCCTTTCACACTATTCGATTTCGTTCGTCCGATTGTTAATCGGATTTGTAGTTGACCATTGGAGCTTTTATTATACGATTACCAATTGTGACAGATTTTCACTCGGGACAGTGCCCGGAAGCAAGGCCACACTAAAAAAACAGGCCGTAACACTCATCAAGCATGACGTCACGACAGAAGACGGCTATGACGTATAAGTATTTATTTATTTATTTTCCACTGAAAGATTAAAACAAGCAGCTGATCACAAATGGGAAAATTACGTCATTGCCGTCTTCTATCTTGACGTCATGCTTGACGAGCATTACGGCCTGTTTTTTTAGTGTGGCCTTGCCGGAAGGTGCCACTGCAGGTATCCGACTCCCGGACGAGTTTTGATTGGGTCTACAGCTGTTGGACTATGTGACCATATGGCGCCTTTCACAGTACACGACTGTTGCTGAGTCATGCCGAGCTTTTACTATCGTGAACGCAGAATTTGCTATCGGAAAATTTATGCTTTTGCCATGATCTAGGAGTACGGTTATGTTTTCCGAGATGATGATTTCAACACGACCGTGGGATATATTTAACATTTGCCGCGATAGTGAAAAACTATGACGATGCTACCATGACCGCGGGAGACGATGAGGTTGGCTACACGACTGTGGGATATATTTATCGAAAAACTATGCCGATGATTCCGTGACCGCGGGAGTTGATGATGGTGTCAACGCAATCTGGCTTCTAAAGACTTTATTACCGTGATTTTAAATTATTTATGTAAACAATTTGGATAATCTCCAATTCGGATAGTTAAGAGTTTAGATCAGTTTTAACGATTCCTTGATCCAATGGGTCTAATTTTGACGTGAAGTTAGGTGGCAGGAACTTTAATAATATATTAGTAGGCCTAAGCTTTGGGACTTAAGGAATTCTCCTTCTTCAAGAATAACATATTCTGATTCTCCGTGCACAATACAGTTGCCAACGCTTACATTTACCACAAACCCTTTTAAAATGTCACGTGATTTATTATGAAGCCACTTGTTGCACACAAGTTTTAAACGACTAAGGCTTTTGAAAATTTCTGATAATTTAAGAATTGGAGTACTTATTGGCAAATTTTTATCATGACATTGCTATAACCATTTCACGAAACACTCTCCACGTTTTGAAATCACTCTTCACCCATTTATGCATTTTGCCTACTCAAATGGATTAGCTACTACTTAAATGCGTTATCCCTTTTCCCACTTAATACTTTGGAATATTTTTGTCTTGCCGTTGTGTTTCTTTAAGAAACCACATACCTATTATGAGAATGATCAAAAAAGAATTTATCAAAATCGTCCGCTCTGTAGTTGACGAAATATAAAATCCCTTCAGTTTTCTTTTATCAGGACTTTTTATATTTAGTGAGTTTTATTTAAATGCTACTGTTAAGAAATTTAATTGACGTTTTCCAGACATACTTGGGCACATAACTCACTTGCGTAAACAATAAGATACTAGACTTAAAAAGTTTTTCATCGCCTCTCTTTCAAAACCGCAAAGTATGTCTTTGAATAAAGCTTTTTCCGACACTATCGCCTCTCTTTCAAAACCGCAAAGTATATCTTTGAATAAAGCTTTTTCTGACACTATTTGTAGGGACTTAATTTGGATTTTCTTGTAGTTAATGGATTTTTTAAACTTTTATTTAATTTTTGTCAATTCTAAGTAAATTTTAATGTAAAAAATGTAAAACGTTGACTTTTAACAAATTCATATAAACAATATGGAACGTTGTTTGAAACATTTTAAGACTACAAGTGGTTGCTGTAACTCTTTCAGCGAATAATAGAAATGTGTATGCATCTTTTCAAGCTCTGGATGAGGATATTGTATTTTATGAATCTATTGAAAATGTCTTTTCTGACGAAGATAAAAGATCTAACAGTTTAGAAGATAACATCACCTAACTGGGCAGGAATTCCAAACCCTTATATAATATGTACTACCCGTGTACTAGCACAAATTCTTGTTGGTAAAGATCATGTTTGAACACGTTCAATTGACGTTTTGGCTATTCAGAGGTTATTTTTGGATTTTTTTACTAAATAGAAACATGTAGTGTCTGTCATACAAGGAATGAAATCTTAGGAATTTATAAATGTCTATTAAAGTGACAGGGGCAGTATTGGCTGGGCAGGAACTGGCCCTACTATTGGTGGAATGAACTTTCAGCCCCAGAAGCTATGTCACTAGTCAATAACACGTTCTTTGCTTAACAAAACAGTTTTATTAAAAACCCATTCTGTTTTGATACTAATCTAGTTTCAATGTTATGATGTTTACAAATAATTTGAGTGTTTAAGTCTTTTTCATTATGAAATAAAATTGACATTAGAGTTGATCTTGAATAAAATGTCTTACATTTACGATTCATTTTGCATTATTGGTCAATAAACCCAAACTTATGTGGAAATTTCCTTTGAGCCACTCAAGTCTGATTCTCTAGTGTGTAAATGTAATAATTTCTGTGCCAAAAGTGTTATGTACCAGTTAACACTGTGATTTTGAAAAAAACATCTTTGCTTGTTAAGTCATTGAAAACATTTGTTTCAATATGTTTGTTAAATGCAACAAACAAAACATTTTGTTTTAAGGTATTCATTCAAACGGTAACATTTAGGAAAATAATTACGAATATTAATATAAAAAAATATTGTTTGAATCAATTTGTTAGGTATTAATTTGTTTAGTTACTCAGAACATGAATAATCCTCTTTTGTTTTCTTTGTCTATTAAAATACTCTGTGGTACTAACAGTTTGTGTTCTATTTTGTAAATGGAATCATTGTGAAAGAAACTCTTACTATAGTGTGATTTTTAAATTTTACTTAGTTTTTAATTTACAATTGAGTGTGTTGTGAAATCAGATTTTAATCCTCGCCATCAAACATATTCATTGTGTATTAACGTTATGAAAAGGTTGTTTCGTAAACAGATATTCACTTACAAGATAATGAGGAAAATAAAAGAATTTATTGTCAGGTATGGTGGAGGTATGGTCTTGGAATGAATAAAAAATAGTTCCTAAAACTTGTGCTGAACTATGGCATATTAATATATTTCCCATTTAATATTTTATTCAACCCTTTTTGAATCTTAAAAAGCAATGTCTAGATGACTTACAAAATAAAAGAGGACTGTCTTCTTTTCTCAAATTTATTCAATTTCGCTGTGGAAAAAGACAAATAACCTTGTATTATGAGCTACATAACTTTGCAAAATTTCAATACTCAATAAAGTTTTGATACCCATGTAAACATACTTAATGCAGTCTCTACTAGGAGTGTTGTTTGTATAAAACTGTGAAATATACAAACAAGTCTTACTGAGCTTCAGTTACTGTCACATGGGGTGAGTCCCTGGGTGTGTTTTAAATACTCAGTTCTTCTTGCAGATGAGGTTTTAGGATTAGCAGAGACAGATGTTGACTTACGTAATCTTGCTGCGTCTCCCACAAAGAAACGACCCTCCATGGAGAATGCTTTAGACACTCCACCCGCCAAGAAATCAAAGGCCGAAGTCATGGACGAGTAAGTCATCAATTTGTGTAACTGGTAGAAGGTGGTTATGTAGTGCCTGATTTTGTATGCTTTTGCTTATTGCACATCTTTTGTAGCCTGAATGAAAATCATCAAACCTATAACTAACTAGTCTTGTCAGTGTTTGCAATAATTGTCAAATCCCAAACTTTAAAATAGATCTGTCAATAAATATATTTACTCTCTGTTTCTCCCTAAATGACAACCATTATATATTTTTGCTTAGCCGAGGTCATATAATGAGTTTGATGTCAACAGCATCTTAAGTTAAAGTTATCAGCAAAACTACCCAACTTTTAAAAGACCCTTTACTTATGTAAACTTACATAGATGTAAAACATAATTAATTTGTAAACTTCATTTATTATTATATTTAATCATCTTGTAGTTAAAATGCACTAAGTATCTAAGCTTTCAGTCGGTTGAATACCATCCTTAGCCTTGTTCAGTGTTATGTTAGCGTACAGTAGCGTGCATGTCTGATGAGTTTTCATTTCCTTCCCAAGATGGGCCTGGCAAGTGGCTAAGTTTCCTGCTTGCAAGATCAGCTATTTCCCCGCACGTCCTGACCCTGCTCACTGGTATAGGCCTAATTATTCCCAGATCTGTATATACAAAAAAAGGTATACACTTTTAGAAATAAATGGTCTGTGTAAAACAAAATTTAACCACTTTATTTGTCTTTTTGTAAATAACCTTTATTTAAACTGGTCAGTCAGTTTTGTGGAGAAAAGTCAAAATGGATTTTCAATGTTGGAGTTTTTTTCATGGCACGTGTGGAACGGCATCTCAAACAGCATAGTAGTTTGTTCGTCTTTAGCAATTTTATTTGTTTATCCTAAAAGTTATACTCATATCATGTGCAATCATTTTTTTAATGGAGATTGACCATTAATATTTTACTATATTATCTTAAAAATAGTGATTATCTAGAAATAACAACTATAAGACCTGGCAATCAGGAGTTTTATAGACAACAGAGGTTTCCTACAAGTATCAGATTCATCTCTGCTCCTTCCTAAAGCTTCTCTAATATGTCCTTCAATTGTCTTGCTATTTAAAGTACAGTCTTACAGGATCATGCATAAAAAAAAGTTATAGATATACTGGCATTTATAATCTTACATTTTATGTACAGCCATATAATTTAACAATAGGTTCTGACACTTATTTATACTTAAGCCTCACTCAGTTTTATCTAGCAAGAATACTGTTAGTTTTTTATTTATATTAATTAAAATACAAAACTAGTTTTATTTTTATAAGGTTTTTATATAAAAAAAAAATGTTTTGAAAAAGATGCAAGTAAATCAGTGTGGTCACAGACCTAGAATTCCAGGAAAACAACAGGAATTTAATGTTAATTTAAGAATTTTACTTGGATAACCTCAAAACATAGTACCATTATGTTGTAATACTAGATTAAGAGAAATTTTTAAGAGTTAAACACCCAGCGACATACTGTATATGCTTGCGGAAAAGGATCAAGAAACTCTGCTAGCGCATGAAAACCCCGACCATTAAAACATTTTGAACATTGCCTTGTAATCAGGGCAAAATCGTGATGTTATTTGCAGTCACAGCGAAATCAAGATCATCATCTGCGGTCATGGCAAAATCGTGAACATCTTCCGATGTTTAGGCTACTTCATCGATATCTACGACCTTGGCTAAACCATGACCATCACCCGCAATGGTGACAATAGCAGTTTCATGGCCACACTATAAATAAAGAATAACACATCAAATAAAGAAGAATTCTAACTGTAGCAAAACAATTTAAAGAGAGTTGGATTAAAAAGAAGACAGTTACTTGGTTATAAAACTGATTTGTTAAGCAAATAAAGAAATTACTGTACAAATTGTGTTTACAGATTAGTGTTCTTATTTATTTATGGATTGGTCTATAGAGTTTTGGGTACTTTCATATTATACCACAGCCACAACTCCAGGCTACGGCCTGGTAGAATTGGCAACGTCGCAAGTAGTATTGTTTAGCGCCAGACAACATAAGACAACATGACAGACAGGTGACACCAGATCATTAATTCGCATATTTTTCATTTAATTTTATATTTATGAATATAAATTTATTAAAAGATTGAAAATAAAACATAAAAATGAAAACCAAAACAATATAAATTGAAAATCTATTTCTGTACATTTAAAATGGAGTAAATATTTTCATAGCCCAGTATTCCAAACAAAACAGCTGTAACAACACTACTTACAACATTGCCACTTCGAAGGCCGCGGCGTGGAGTATACTTAAGCCTCCAGGTGGCAGTGATAATACCAACCAAACCGATAAATCGACTTCCTTATTTACTCCATTCTAAAAAAATCCTATTACATAAGTATTGCCAAAATTCATATACAGCTTATAAGTAGCACCACTGGTTATACAGAATCAGACAAAATGGCTATGTCATATTAACATTTATTTCTTCAACAAAGCTGAAATTGACTAAGATGGTAGGATTAAAATGTGTATCCTTCATTTTGCCTAAAGCATTGAATCAATAAGATCACTGAAGATGAATCAGCAGAGACTATGATAAATGCTAGTTACTTAACCTTTTTCATACTATAATGTATTAGAGTTAAGAGTAAAAAGGCACTCATGGTTGTACTTTAGATATATCCGTGTAAAAAATGTTGTATGAAGAGTCTATCCATATCTTGCCGCCTTTAATTCATTGATTCAAGTCAACTTCTATTTATAAAAACTGCTTTGCCATGGTTTCATTCCCCTTGCATGTACTGAATGATGGTGTAAACTTTTCTCAACTAACAAAAAATAGTTTTGCTTCATGGTAAGGAGGAAAATGTTCTGGTAGTGGGTATTGTTAAAGCATTACGTATGCATGTTTTGTTTCTGTGCATGTTTTGGTACTTTTTTTGGATAGGATTTATTTTATAGTAAGGTATTGCAAGGAGGTATTTGAAAGAAGTGATATAAGCTATGACTATAGATAGGCTAGCCTTCAGATGCAGTTATGTTATACCCTTTGAGCTTCAAAGACCAATATATCAGGCACCATAAACAAAACGTTCACTAAACATTTATCTATAGAAATAGAAATCAACACAAACGGCTTAAGTTATACTTCATACTAGTTAAAGTTATGGCATGATACTGGAGAGCCCTCGTATTACTCATAAATTTGACTTTAAAATAATAGATCTCCTAGTATTTACTAGTTGGGCCATGGTTTAATTTTATACAGTTATGAAATGTATGTTTACTCACAAATTGGACGAATTAGGTCTTACTAGCAGGCTTACAAATTGTTTTCAATTTTATAAACTAGTTATGAAACGTAGGTGGCACCTATTATTGATAGTAAATAATAGAATATTAAAATATCACAAGTAAATTACAATAAGCGTTTGAGAACTAATGTGTATTTATCTTTATTTCAAACATATAGTTGACATTCAAAGTTTGGTACTTTTATCAATATTGAATTCAATATGAACACCAAAACACAAACAATAAATTTATTGAGAGTAGTTGCTTTGAGTATGGTATGTAAGTGAAATTGATCACCTAACTAAAAATAGGCATTGTCTGGATTATCACTGACATATACGGCCGTATACTATAATTTTGTCTTACAACGTTTGTAACGCTCCGTGCGGTGGGCGATGCCGGAGTGGGGCGGTAAGTAAAGTTCCAGAGTTCCATTGTCCAGCAATGTCTAGTGTGCAAGTCATGAGCTCACCAGTCTGTGGCCGAGCTTAGAGGGATTGGTCCACCTATAATAAACTTTAGACAGCTCTGGTGGAAGTTGATGGGATGGGATGAAAGGGTTCTTAAACATCAAATCGAACACCTTGCTTAATTTTTCATATCGGTAATAAGTGTGGTCCTAACTAAAACATGAAGAAAACCCTAAATAAAAATAGACACAATTAAATTAACGAATAATACCGGGGCTAAAATTCAATTACATTTCTCTGATAACTACCATTACAAATTGCATAAGTACTTGTAGGGCCACAATGTACATCAGTAGTAATTAAATTGCAATCAATAGTTCTAAAGAGTGGTTACTGGCCAAGACCTTGAAACCTTTAATTTTTACTCCAATTAACTTTAAGGATTTGGTAACTTTATCTTGCTGTCCATTGGTAAGTAAGTTTATATAGAATTTCAAAGATAGTGGTTTCATAAATCTTCTACTTTGCTTATGTAATATCACGATATATTATGTTATGTTATGCGGCAGGTTATTTGGTAGTGAGGATGTGGACCTTCGTCCAGTGTTGTGCCCCCCACCACCCTCTCCACCACCCCCGCCAATCATATCATCCCCCCCACCACCTGAAGCAGCTGGGGAGCGGCTCTGGGCTCGCTACAAACAGAACAAGCCTGACACATACAAGGTCAAGTACACTCCTACCCGACGTGATAGAGCACCTAGTGTCGACAAGTTTGGACGCTACAACCGCCTCAACAGTGGGTCTGAAGGTGAGTCTCCACTGTGATGAATCTTAACAAATTTAATTTAAAAATTAATAAGATTAGCTGGAAATACAGTAAAATTGCATCAAAAAGTTAAAACAATTAATTGATCATTTACCGCAATCACGGCGACACCAAGTTGTCTCCTACAATCACAATCTTCTTACTGTTTCCAATGACCTAAAAAGTTAACCAACAGAACGCTGATAATGAATGGGCGCCCAGCTAAAGACTATTCTCCATTATTCCATATTTTCTGGGTTCATATCTAATTCATGGACTTTTCTTAATTAAATATCCTGCTGTTCTCACTTTTCTGGGTGGCAGAAAACGCCGGTTTTTATTTTGGAACACATGACTTTGTTTTTAAATTAAATATATAGTAACCTTAATTCCACAGTTTTTTTCTCATTTTAATAGAATCTGCCCTTGCCACTATTCTGCTACTTTAAATCTATCAACTAGCGTAAAAAATTGGCCATCACTGCTGAGCTGTGAATGTTTCCAGCCTTTTTCTAGTATCGTAATATGATTGCCACAATGGTTGCCTATGGTCGATTAATATAAATCTCAAACGTACAAGAATTATTGTCTAAGCTAAGAGTGCAATCATTGGGAAACCAATGATATGAAGAACATGTGAAGCATTAGAATGATGTGTCAGGTCGGTGGGGCAGCAGTGGCCGAGCTAAGAACACAGAAGATGTGGACATGAGGGCTCCTCCTCTGACTCCAGATGGTAGTTACAACCACATCATAATACAAGCTATGGAGCAACACAAGCGAGGTGACCTGGACAACGACGCTTACAAGCGAGTCTTAAGCGAGGTCAGTGTTGGCAGCACAATGTCATGTCTATGTTTAATGTCTAGGGTATTATCTAGGCTTAAATAATTTTTGTTTTTAAACTTGTCCAACACTGTGAAGCTCACTAAAAGGTTGATACCATTGCTTTTATTCCTTCCTCAAAATGTCTTGTATAGGTAGTCCTTGTAAATGTGTTTGAAACATTTCAGTAAAGTAAGGGTTATTATCAGTCTTTTGTCATTGATAGAAATTCAATTAATTATCCTAACCATGATAACTAATATTAACTAACTATGTAGTATTTTATATGGTATCTATATTGTATTCTTCCTAGGGGTCCGCGGAATTGGCTAACTCTGGAACTCACTAACCCCATGTTAAATGCCCTATCTTCAAATTTGGTCGATGAGAGGAACTCGCTAACTTGTTCGGTTTCGGAATTGGCTAACTCCGGAACCCGCTAACCCGCTCTAGAGCCGGGTTAGCGAATTCCGTCCTCGTACGGAAGTCGCTTTCTCGGTCCCTCGGCGGAACTCGCTAACTCCCAATCAGAAGCCTCGCGGGCCGTCCAATGGGAGCCAAGCACGAATATTTTTGGCCAGTGTTGCCGAAAGTGTAGTACCTATATCGTATCGGCACCATAATGTCGTATCCTACGCTTAATTAGGAGTAAGAGCAACGTAGTCGATAAAATAAATATATTTTGAAGTATGTTTAACTACAGAGAAGTTCTTATGATTATTAGGGTGGAAAATGCATTATAGTCTTACCATAGACTAACCAACACAAGTAAACTTTACATCCCATTGTAAACTTTGAAGCTCGTTTTTCGTGTCTAGTTCATGTCCGGTGACACTGATCGCTAGTGTCGACAAAATTGTGTTTCTATTATTTTATAGTTAACTTCATGATTTGTTCCTTACTGTTTGGTTATATAACTAGGGGACGTGTTATTAGTTGTGATTAGAACGTTTTATTTGGTTAAACGAGGTTTTAAATTACTGAAAACAAGAAACAATTGTAAACCAAACACGACCTCTAAAGACAATACACCGGACAGAACTAACAATACAACTGTCTTCAGATCATCCGTAAGGATGAGAAATGTACTAATATAAGTAGGGATGGACGGGTCCCGAAATTTCGGGAAATTTTCGGGAATATTTAATTCCCGATCATCGGGACGGGATTACTTTCAATTCGGGATTTTCTCGGGACGGGATTTGTTCTGTCAGTTTATTTTTTCAACTATGCGCAATTTAATCACGCCACGGTTAAATCAACATTCTGAAGATTCTATTAAACTATTGAGAACTATTGTTGACTATTTATTTTCCCATTTTATCCCAATACTGTTTACATATCCAAGTTTTAATGCATTGAAAGTATCAAGATTGCAACTGATTGAATAACAACAGACAGTAGACGACGAGACGGCATTGAGAGACTGACGACGACAGTTGAGTCTGCTTTGATCATGAAGACGACAAGGTAAGGTTAGTTAGTTACCAACTGTACAACAATGAATAAAAGGAGAGTGGATAACATATTGTATGTATATTTGGATGAAATAACACTCTTTTACACTGTAGTAAAAATGACTGGAGTCACAATTACTTTAAACTAAATATCTTTGATTTAAAGTCTGTTGCCAATTAATTCTTAAAAATTAACATAGTGTTATGTAATTTATGTGAAAATTAAAACTATTATTTTTCTCTGAACATAGTATGAATGACGTCTGCAAATTATTTTTTTACAAACAGTTTTAGTTTACTTTACAGGATTACTTTTCCGTTGTCTTAGATATATAATACATATATATGTATATATATTATGACCAGAGAAAACAGGACACGTTATTTTACTGGGTTGTCTGTCTAAAAACAAAAACATTTATATTGTTATTATTAGGGAGCTCAAACAAGCATTAAAGACACAATTCTCATTTGTAGATATTTTTGTACTTGTTAATAACTTTGATAAGCATACTCAATGCTCATGTAGGCCTACTCACTTTCCACGGCAAAAAGATTCCATTAGTGTTATAATGGTGTTATATAGTCAATGATTCTATGTACGTATCTATTCTCTATGCATGAATTGCTTAAAATTGAGGTTAGTTATTTGTTGTTGATACTAAGGAGACTGCCGACTGATGTGATTATCTTTTGAAGTGTTTAAGGCTGAATTGTTTCGTTTAAGATCCTATTACTGTGATAACTAATACATTTATTTTTTAGTATAGCCTAGTTGAAGATGGTTATTTGCTAAATAGGAATAGGCCTAACTAATTTGATGTTTATAGTCACGTTTTGTGGAAGATTCACTAGCGGTGTTTTTATTGAACAACGTCGGATTCATTTGATATTGTTTCACAAGTTATAGAATAGTAATGAATGAAACTGAGGAAGAAACAACTAGGGTTGAAACATCAGCCACCAAAAAGGCTCCCATTTGGGACCATTTCAGGACCATTAGTGTTGCACAATCATCGTCATCATCAGCTCCTGCAGGTGAGGTTGCCAAATGTATATATTGCAATCAGGTAATAAAAACAAACTTTGGGAATACCACTGGAATGAGGAGGCATCTAGAGAATAAACACTTTTCAAAATTCTTGCTGTTCAAAAAGACTCAAAGTGAATATGAGGCGAAAAAATCTAAAACACGACTGAAACCCCTTCCAGGGTCATCTGCAGGCCTAGTAAGAAAAACCCCTGATCAGACTAAACAGTCAAAGCTAACCGACCTCAATAAATGGGACAGAACCAATCCTAAGGCCATTGTACTAACCAAAGAAATTGGAAAATGGATGGCTTCCAGTCTACACCCCTACAGCCTTGTTGAGGAACAGGGTTTTAGAAAAGTTCTCGGCATAGCACAACCCTTATATAATGTCCCTTCCTCCAAAACATTTAGTCGTAGAGTGATCCCTGATCTGTACAGAGATGTCAAAACTGTGATCAGCTCTTCAATACAGCAACAAAAATCAGTCTTGACATCAATATCTCTTACCTTGGACATGTGGACTTCCTTGTCAAACAATGCCTATTTAGCAGTTACAACCCATTTCATGGACAAAGACTTCCATATCCAAAATTATTGTTTGGGGTGCTATTCATTTATTGGTGAACATAAGGGCGAACATATAGCTCAGAAAGTTCGAGAGAGCCTGAAATATTGGGATTTGGCAAACCTAGGCATTCCAATGTATGTGATTACAGATAACGCCAAAAACATGAAGTTGGCAGTAAGCCAGTGTAAAGAGCTAACACCCTTGAGCTGTTTTGCCCATTCTTTACAATTGGCAATAGGGGATGCGAAAAAAGAAACCCAAGGCATGGCCGACCTAGTAGCAAAAGCCAGGAAAATAGTAGGCCACTATAAGCATAGTTCTACAGCTTCTGAACGGCTACACCAAATACAGGAAGAGATGGGCAAGGAGGTGTTGAATCTTATCCAAGATGTTGAAACCCGATGGAATTCGGAGTATTTAATGCTCAATCGACTTATCAAGAACAAGGAACCAGTTTCAAGGGATCTAGTGTCATTTGGAAAAATTGATAATTTGACGGTTTCAGAGTGGCGTCTAGCAGAAGCCTATGTCAAAATTCTCGAGCCACTTTATGAAGCAACAGTCGAGATGTGCTCTTCCATAATGCCGACTGCTTCATTAGTTATACCAATTTTATATTGCATCCAGGAAAAACTTAGTGCAATCATTAATGACAAAGAAGGGGTTGGGAAAATGTTTTCACGCCAATTGCTCAAGAGCTTAAGATCTCGATTTCCTAACTCATTGAAAGTTGATCCATATGTGACAGCAATGCTGACTGATCCACGATTTAAGGATGTGGCACTGGAGCCTTTTGAAAGAGCTATTTCATTGGGCTCACTAAAGCAAAGAATCATGACAGCCATAGGACAATCGCCTTCAGAAACAAATCAGTCAAAAGGTTAGTAGGATCTCTCCAATAATAGTCTATAAAATCCACCCATAAAAAAAACTTTTTATTTTAGAACTAAGGTATTTTGAAATTATTGAAAAAATGTTTGAGCTTAACAAATCAGTCATTAGCCTGTAGGCTAATTAAGGCCATATTTTAATATGGGTCTATAAAAAAATTGTGACTATTTTTTAAGGGAACATCCCAACTCTCTTTCAAAATACTGTAGGTGTGTTTTTTTTGGCTAAAGTAGGCCTATTGGAATATTTAAACTAAGCTCACCTACCTTTTACAGTGAGATATTTCTGGATATGCTCTGGGAAATGGCTATGGGCCTGGGCTACAATAATTAGGTAGATAGCCAAATTTTCATAGGTGGAAAGAGCAAAGGAAATGTGATTAGGATGTACGCTACATAAAAAAAACAACTGTGATATAAATTGAAACATAATATTGTGAAGGTACTCCAATTCAAAGGGTAAGGCATAATAATAAAACACATATTGCATATTTTTTTAAACAGTGTGATTTATTTTGTTTTTTATCAAAATCTTGTCTTTCTAGCCCAAGATGAAGAAGACAAATCAAAATCGTTGTGGTCGATCTTCAAAAAAGCTGCAGCACAGAAGGCTTCAGAACCACAGGAAAGCACCCAGCTTGAAATCCAGGTGGACAATGAGTTTAAAATCTACTTTGCTGAACAAACCATTCCACCATCGGAGGATCCCTGTGCATGGTGGAGGGAAAACGAAGGACGGTTTCCCCTTTTGAAGTCCATCGTTCGTCACTACTTAGGAATACCGGCGACAGAAGTAGCAAGCGAAAGGACATTCTCAAGTGCGGGTAACGTTGTTTCACCATTAAGGCAAAGACTTTCGAATGAACATGTAGAGGAGTTGGTGTTTCTACATCAAAACGCGAAACTATTGTATGATAAGTTGAAATAAGTCATACATTTGACCAACAGGCTTACCTCTTTAACAGTCTTATTTTGATATCTTGACTGACAGCACCTACCAAATTTAATAGGCCTACTATGTAAATGACAAATGTGTCCCTCAATCTCTATGAAAACTAGTAGGCCTACAGTCAAACTATTGTGAATGTCAATGTAGCTGTTATATTAATGCTTATAAAATATTAAATATCATTTATGTTCTTTAGTTTTGGTTTTTGAGTTTATTTAGGATAGATATTTTAGCAACATATTCTTTCAGTGTGATTTTTAGTCAGAGCTTGTGATGGAGCTTAAATGATGCGTTTGCTTGCAATAAATGTGATAAAATGCAAATAAAATTAGGTTGTTCGATGTTAATACATTGTTATTAATTTTTATGTTTGCAATCATCTCTTGGTTAATGTTTATTTTTGTTTTGATGCTTTGAGTTTTCTTAGCTTAAGATGACTATTTGAGTACATATTTTAGTGTTAGATTTCTTTTCAGTTGTAGAGTTTGTGGTAATTTGCACTAAATGTGATAAATAAAAGGCAAATCAAATAAGATGGTTTGATCTCATAATATCTTAAGAAGATATATTGTTAATGATTTGTTTACTATTTCTTTGTTGGTGTTTATTTTTTAGTTTTGATGCTTTGAGTTTATTTAGGATAAGTAGGCTAAGTATTTTGACAACATTACATATTCTTTAGTGTTACCCAGCGTGTGATAATTGCAATAAATGTGATATAATGCAAGCCAAATAAGATGGTTTGATCTCATAATATCTTAATATTTAGGCTAAGTATTTTGACAACATGACATATTCTTCAAGTGGTAATTTTTAATCACAGATTGTGATAGTTTGCAATGAATTTGATTTGATATAAAGCAAATCAAATAAGATGGTTTGATCTCATAATATTTTAAGATATATTATTATTGCTATTGATTTTTTACCATTTCGTTGTTAGTATTTATCTTTTGTTTTGATGCTTTGAGTTTATTTAGGATAAGTAGGCTATTTTGACTACATGGCATATTCTTTCAGGGTAAATTTTTAATCATAGCTTGTGATAGTTTGCAAAAAATGTGGTATATAAATCAAATTAGGCACTTTGAAATTATAATGTGTTACAATATAGGCCTACTGTTATTGTTATTAATCTGATGTTAAATTTGCCACTACTATTTTAAATTATGTTTCCCTCTTTTGTCACCATTTCATATAAAATAATAAGTTTGGTATCTAAGCTATATTTTTGATGAAACATTACAGTAATTTATGTAAAGTCCAGGGCTTTTAAAAATAAATGATACTTTTAGGCCCTAATGTCACATAAAATTAAGACTGATGCACCATAGTTCAAAAGCATAAAATGTGTACTTTTTCTTTTTATATTTGGTGAACTTGTATTTTTAGGTAGGTATTATATCATTTTAGTTTGCTTAGAGTTTTTTGGTTGTGTTTGTTGCCTAGATGTTTTTACCCTTTGTTTGATTGCATTTAGTACAGTTAAGAAAGACTGATCAATAAAGACTGAACACTGCTTTTGTTTGTCATTGTTGCCTTTTCCAAACATTTTACTTACATTTTAAAGTAAACCAAAGTTTTGATCGTCTTACACAAAAAAATCCCGTCCCGTCCCGTCCCGAAAATTGGGAAGGAAATAAAAATCCCGTCCCGTCCCGTCCCGAACCAAAAATTCAATCCCGTCCATCCCTAAATATAAGGGAGTATGTTTTATATGTGGGTTTCTTACTTAAATAGTAGCTTATTGGTATGAAAAAGATAAAAATGCACATTTAATTTGGATCTATTACATGTTATGAAATATCTATTTTCGTAGTCCGCCATTTGTTTCTTTTATTCGAATAAATACAATTTTGTGAACTTCTGCAAATAAAATTTTTGAGTTCGTATTTTATATACTGGGCTTGTAGTAACCTTAAATCATAAATCATAATAAAATTTACACGTTAAACGTCATTACAGAATTACATTGTAGTGGTTATGTATTTTTAAATAGAGCTATTGAATTTAAATAAATATTTATCAATACATTATAAAGTGGTAGGCCTAATGTATTCATGGATTGCATTAAAAGTTAGTCTATGCATAAATACAACTTGTAAATTTCTTTTATCGTAGGCTATTAGTGTAGAACCCGGGTCATCCTCTTAATTTTGTTGAATTAATATTAATTTTATGTCTTTCAGTAGGCTTACTTTTTAAAAGTCTGGAGTTTTTTTCCAGGCTGATTCTATCTTATCCAAAAACAAAGCTATTGTCTATTGTGTAGCTCAGTACTGGGGAACGGTGAACCGAGCAATGGCTTGGTATAGTTTATATCGTTTGTGAAAGCAATATAAAGGAAACCCAACACTCAAATCAGGAAAATCCGTCAATTAGTTTATTAAAAATTGTGAATTAAAATTACCGTGTCACGTTTTATTATATGAATATTATATTATCTTCTCCTATTTTTTACTAGTGGTGCTTAGCCTTCTTTCACACCAGCACGGTGCGGGACCGTCCCGCACCGGACGAAGGTGTTTAGACTATTGAATCATATAGGAGCTTTCACACCAGTGCGGGTTGACCCGGACAGACCTAAACCTCTGTCCGGGTTGAAAAATCACCCGCACGAACCTAAACTTCCAATGCGGGACGAAACCGCACGAATAGTTTTTAGATCATGGGTTCTTATGTACGCTTTCACACTTACGCGGGACGGGCTGGTTTCGCCCGCACATAGCAGTAGTTTTGACAGTCTATGCCTATCAGTGGTTGAGTGTGGTTGATTTTGTAGTTCTCTTGTTAATTAATAGGGAAGTTTGTTGTTTTTGGTATGGAGGTTGAAACTTATATAGTGCTGATTAGTTTGGTCAAGCTTTATATTTTGGTTTAGTTTGAAGGCCAGTGTGTAGGACAAGACCCCCACTGCAGCAAACCATCATACATTTGCATGTTAAAATTTTTACAAACGATTTGATTAAACATACCTGATTTATTTAATATAAAAACATTTGGTTTAAGAAGCACTTACATTTTCTTCTATATGGAAGGAAATGAAGTGGTTGTTTAAGCTAAAACCGCCTACAAATATGTGCATAAAAATCCATATATCGAAATTTGAACTACAGAATTACTTTATCTCCTATAGTGCCATGAAATCAAAATATGGTCCCAGATGTTATAGTATATTTCATAAAAAGAGTAGAAAGTGAGTCATTACATTATTTGTGACAATGCGAGATTCATCGAGCACTTTTTAAATGGTTGAGAATAATTATAGACCCACTTTCACTTGTGTTTTTAACGTTACTTTTCGCTGCACTACAAAGAATAATTATTGTCTTCATTACAAAGCTCATACAGTAGAATGTTATAGGTTATGCCTTCAATTTAAAGTTAGTGTTTACTTTAGTTGTTGACAGTTAAAACAGTCGATAAAAGAATAACAATTATTTGTTTGTTTACGTCGGAAAAAATCCAAAACAGATATAAACATAACTTTCGCATAGTAAACATTCTTTTGCCGTAATAAAATAACAATTTAATGAAAGATTTTCGCAAGTTATTTGGCAAGGGGGCAAGTTATTTGTATTTTTATTTTCGGATACAAGTACCATAACCATCTTTCTTTTATTTATTTGAACAAAATACATCCAAAAGCACAAAGTTTCAGGCTGGAAACGCCCGGATCCGGGCAGCTAGTGTGAAAGGGCCTTGCGGGTCACCCCGCATCGACGGTGCGGGACGGTGCCGCACCGCGCTGGTGTGAAAGAAGGCTTAGGTGTACAATCTAAAAACGGTTTTATAACATGTAACATACATCTGTTTCCGTGTTTAAGAACTTGCGTGTATTTTAGCTTAGTTTCGTAGAGGTTTAATTATTTAGTACCAATTAAACTGAAATTTCAATATTTTTCATATCCTATTATTTTCTTTTATACTGATGGCATTTATATTTAAGATCGAAATCATAAACATTTAACTGGCCATTGTACAGTTTAATAAAAAAAACACTTTTTCATGATTTTTTAATTGTCTTTTGAATTACTTTGGGCTAGTTATCTGTTAAAAGTGGAATTTATAACAAAAAACAATAACATTTACTGTATCTTTATTGACACTGACATTTTGAAATACGGCAGTGTACGATTATTTTGTCGTACAAGGTTGGCAACGCTCCGTGCAGTGGGCGCGGCCGGGTTAGCGACTTCCAGAGTTAGCGAATTCCGCCGCGAGACAAAATCGAGTTAGCGGGTTCCGGAGTTAGCCAATTCCTGACTGAGACGGTTAGCCAGTTCCGGAGTTAGCCAGTTCCGACACACGACCGAGTTAGCGAGTTCCTGAGTTAGCCAATTCCTACGTCTCCTTCCTAGGCTTTGCAGCTGAACAAGTTAACAATATTATGTAGTTTGTACTCTTCACAATGTATTTACTTGGTGTTGTCTGCTGCAGGTGTTTGCCATGAGAGAGAAGCAACAGCTGGAGGAGGCCCAGAGGAGAGATGAGGAGGCTCAGGCTGAGCAACTGGAGCCTGTCAGTGATGATGACATTAGTGGTACGTTCACACTACTACTACTACTACTACTATCTATCAATCTCATATACTGCTACAGTACTTGTACTAACATTTGATAGGAAAGTGAAGTAAAACAGTAAAACATCACATTGATATAACATAGGCCTTCTTAAAGAGTGGAAAATGTCGGTTGAATTCAAGAATTTTATCTGTTATTCAATCTCCTCTATGAAGAAGTTTGTCCTATATTAGGACAAAATACCAGCATTATCTTTTTAGATCTTTTTATTTGTACAGTACATCTATTAGCCCCTGAAACCAATTTTTTTAGGTAAACTAAAAAAAAACCTTAGTACTTGTATTTACACATTTTTAGTGATGAATTCTTTCGTAGCTGTAATCATAAATTTTCAGTTACTGATTGGAAGACATTGATGTTTTCTGGCACCAGCCACAAAAGCTTTAGTATGAAGATTATTAGATAAATATAATTTTACTATAAAAAATTAGTAAGAACAAGAAGTACTGTTGCAAACGATTACCATCCCAAAAGTCAATGTATTAAGATCAGAATTTTTTATGACATTAAAGTTAAACTGTTTCTAATTAACTGGTTCTAACCAACTTAAAACAGTTGTTATTGTTTCAGCAGGCTCCTTGTCTGGAGTAGAAGATGCCCCATCTCCTCCAGAATCATATTCAGGTAAAAAATAATCAATAAATACCATGGCCCAAATAGATTTTTTAACTTCTACATTAAACAACAACTTGATTGTTTCATATATGCTCATCCAAGTATTATTATCAAGATTTAACATTCAATAAAATCGTTTTTAAGTTGTTCTTGCTAATATGTCTAGTCCTGGCTTACGCTATTTCACAATTATTATAATAAAAGTATCCAATCCACAAATAAAATAATTTTGCTTTACATTAGCCACTCTTACCTAGCTTGTACCTAGCCACTGTTACATTAGTCGCAGATAGTCTGGGCGCGCTAGGGTGCGGGGTGTGGAGGGGAGTGTTTATTGCTCATTTCTAAAAACATCTGGCCCACATGGCTCTCTGGGGTTGTTCAGCGCCTCACTGCTGTATTCATGGCTTTGGCGTGGAGGACGGTTAGTACACAAGGGTCCGCGCGCCCAGACTAGCTGCGACAACTGTAGGTTACAGGGGCAGTTTTTTTTCTGCTGGCTACCTATCAAATAGTTAGTGTTTAGCATCACTTTGTCACACATCTTCCATCCTAGACAGTTTCCAATTGATTAAAAAATGGTTCTATATTGTATTAAATTAAGTTATTTCTAACATTATGTAGAACAATGTTTTGCTCCAGGTGGTGAAGACTTTAATGAGTCAAGCTTGAAGAAGTCCAAGACAGAAGATGAGTCTGATAGCAAAGTGGCCGGGAACTTGATGGATGTTGACATTAGAATACCTCCTGCAGACTTAGACATCAGGATAAAATCTCTCTTTGACACCGAGGAGAAACCTGTTGACGACAAATCAAGCCAGAGGACAAGGTAATTGTCTTAAATTTGTTTTTTTTTTTATTTTAGTAATAAGTAATATTCAATAAAACTAGATACATGACTAAAATGATAATGTTGTAAGATGTGTTCTATGCGTTTGATAGTTTGCTAACATTTGTGATTGTTATTTTTAGAAGAGAGCCACTCCCATACACTAGAAGATCTGATGAATCTGAGAAAGAGAAATATCGACGACACAGGACTGAGGCCAGGGCAAGTAGGAGAGAGAAGAAAGCTAAACGGCTGGAGGAGGAGAGAGACTTACGATACAGAGAATCCAAGTATGACCTTCTAAGCTGATGTTTAGTAGTTTAATACTTTTCACACTTTAACACTGTGTCAAAACTCGCTTAGGTATTGGTATGGGCATTTTCGTTTACTCTTAAATATTTTTGTGCAGTAAAAGATAAAAACTGTGTTGTGAACAACTAAAAACATAAATTTAATAAAAAAATTTAAATATATTATTTATGATTATAATGTTAATAGCCTAGTATTTAAGCATTTATGGTTTTTAGCATGTTTGCCTGGATGGAAAAGAGACTGTACTGACTCAAGAAACCCAAAAACATTCACTAAACACAGACGTTTGAAAATTTCTTAGTTTTTAGTTTGAAAGAAATATGTTATCAGATGGTTGTGTAGTTGGATTTGTTTGTATATTGTGTAAAGCTTTTGTGTTTCTTGTGCCAGAATGGACTCTCTATTCAAGTAAGCACTCTATCCAAAAATGTCTTTGAAAGAAATGATTGATTGACTGTGCAAAGTTTAAACAGGTTTTATGTTTATTACTAGTACAAATTTTGTTCATACATTGCTGAATGCGTAAGGCATAACTTGGTATGATTGTTAGTAGGTATGGCCAGGAAGCATGGGTGCCGCCCCCTGAGGATGTCAAGGTGGGAGAGGAGACAGAAGTGCCCCGTGTGCCTCCGCTGCCCCCGTACATGCAAGCCCCGCCCCTTGATGGGCTGCCTCAGGCTACTCCAGTGCGACCACCACACTGGGACCCGCAGAGAATGCCTGGTCCCGGCCCTGCACCTGGTCCTTGGTTGCCAGGAATGCCCCCAACTATCAGAGGTAAGCTTAGGTTGGATGTGTTTATGTGTCCATTTGTTAGAAAACCCTTACTATTTGATAAAGAAGTTTAATGCCATTGTGAAATACTTACAACTTAATGTATTGTTAACCTTACATGAAATCTTAATTTTATATTACTTCATTTACTGCCCCACCGACCCTCCTCATTTCCGAGAAATAGAGCGTTTGACAGCTGATATGCAACCTGTAATTTATTTACCACCAACTGTCTTTAGACTACAGATACAATGGAGTTTGTCAGCTAGTAGGGAATATTTTAAGCTAAGTGTTACACACTATACCTTGTGTGGCAAATATGTTACAGCACCACCAGTGATGGGACTGAGGCCACCACAAGAAAGATTCATGCCTCCTGGATGGCATCAACCTGGACCTGGACCAAGGTACTTAATATTGAGATTTCAAATTCATTACAACGATTGATTTCACTCATGAATCCACTTAAGTTATTCAGTAATAATCAAGTATTTTTCTAAATATCACGTAATCGATTTTTTTTACTTGTTTATTGAAATTTTACATACAACAATAATCTGAAACTGCTTGTAAAAAAACAATTGTAACTCAAATTATGCCGATTGTGTTCTTAAATATATTGTGATGTTTCATTGCTGGTTGTACAACATATTTATTTTTTTTAACAGGTTTAACCGGTTCGGTCCACCACCCATGGGTAGATTCCCTCTGCTGCCCCTCAACCCTTGCGAGGTTCCACCTACTGACCAAGCTGTGCTCAAAGCTATCGAGGAGGACCCGACGAGGTCTATCAACATTGACGGAGTCCCTAGAGACATCCGCTTCTACGGCATCACAGCCGTGGCTTTGATGTCTTGGGATGATCCCAGGGAGATCAGCTTCCAGCCTGGCTCCCGACGGGTGATCATTGACGAGCGAGACAGTGTTATCGTACACTTCAACAGTCCTCCAGTGGAGGTGATCATTGATGGTCAGCCTCACAGGTAAACACACCGTACTATGTTGACTTCTCATAACATATGAAGCCTGTTTCCACATTGGTTAGGTTAAGTGTGTGGTTAGGTAATACAGAGTGTCTACAGCTTCCAGGGACGCCCTACCTCTTAGAAAACTCAGTGATAAATCATCTAGGTCCCAATGTCCCCAAAATCTATGAATTATAATTTAGACCTATCCTGAATTTTTGTAACACTTTGTAAACATGTAAATTCCTTACAAGGAAATTTTCTTCAGTGTAAATTTGTTTGTAGGAGGAAGATTAAGCGTTTTAAGTGAAGTTAGATGCAGGTGGAAAAGTGATGTTAACTAATTTCACCTGTGTAAATTGTGATGTGAGTCAACAAAGTCTTTTGTCAGCTGACTGTGTGTCTTATTTTAATGGGTAAATATTTTATTATGCCTTACTGTGACACATTAACACCACCAGTCACTTATAGCATAAATTACCTATATTTGACAAATACAGTATCCCTGAAAATTGATATATTTTTAGGTTACGGTTTGGAGCACCCACGAGAGAGCTGTTCATAGACAACCAGTGGTTTGAGGTGTTCTTTGGCGGCCCCCCCGTGGCATGCAACATAGCAGGGCAGCCCCACATGATACAGCTGGAAGGTCCCCCACCCCCTGTCAAGCCTGGGGCACCTCGCCGCGACCTAGTCGTGGGCAAGATCACACTAATCATTGACGCTGAGTATTTCTTCACCATCTACTTAGATGCTAAACCTCAAAAGTAAGAAAGCTGTTTTAATTTTCTTAGTTACACATATTATTTTTTATAGTTATGTAATATTTTTGTAAATAAAGGCATTCAAACAGTATTTGCTTGAACACAAAAGACATTCACATGTACTTTAAATGCTAGAAAGAAAAGTTAATTTTGTTTACATTTGCTTAACAATTGTATTAGTAATCAAGTTGCAGCTGAAGATGTGTGTTAGTAGTCAAACAGTTAACTTGTCCAAAATTAAAATTTAAAATGTTGATAGGTACTTAATAGCTTGTATGTAATGTTTTAAATTATTAATGAAAACTGTTTCATAATCATTACGATTACATAGAATGTTTTTCATGTGTGCATATAAAATGTGCTATTGTCTTTAACTGGTGCTTAAGTACTCTAGTCAAAACCATAATGCATTCTAAGAATGAATTTTGTTCTTAGGTTCGAGGTGAAAGGTGTAGGCTACATCATACGCTTCGTAGAAGCACTACAGAAGACAGTCATTAACGGGGTTCCATTCAAGGTGAGTCTCTAAAATATTAATTAATTTAATTAGCCTAGTTAATATCTTTGTGTAATCCCCAACACATCAACAAATTTTGAGGGATCTGATTTGGATTTTTTCCTAAAAGAGTTTTATTATCTCCAAACGAGATGCTCCTGTCATAAACTATTTAAAAACTAATTCCCGTCTTCTCCGTTGCTCTAGCTGAAATATCAATAGTATTTTTTATTATTTAATGCTTTGGAAGACTTTTCAGACTTTTTTTCTACAAACTAAGCTTTTGTATTGCCACAGAGTGATTTTGGAGGATTGCCGAAGCCAATAATTCTGAACGGAAATAAACACTTCTTTCGTCTGACGGCGCTGCCACGAGGTGTGACTCCTGGATTCCTCAGCATTGCCAACATGGAGGGAGGCCGCTTGCCATCCCCACCAGGCATGGTGGCCCCGCCGCAGCTGCCTGCTTCACTGGAGCAAGCTGTGCTCTTACCTCCCCCACACACACTCACAGCACCGCCCAGGAGTAAGTACATTACTGTCTTCAGGGTGTCTACCAACCGGGAAATCCGGGAAAACCGGGAATTGTACTTAAATTTTTACTGGCCATGAAATGTACGGGAATTGTCCTTAAATGCCAGACTATATCCTTAAATTTTTAATGGGCCATAATTTTATTGATCGCTAGTTGGTTAGGAGCACATATAAGGCTTATCAGATGTTTGTTTACATTTTCATCATTTATTACTAGAGTAATTATGCAATAAAAATCCCATTAGCAATCTCAAACCCATTACTATTTTATCACGACAATCAAGTGTCAAGTCAAGTACTTCCAAGAACTGTTGACTCAGCAGCTAGCTCATAAAAGTTGTATCACTTTTATTCCTTTACAACTTCTTTTTTTATTACTAGGGTAATTATTATTAGATCCCAAACCTATTTTATCGTGAAAATAATAGCTTTATAATGGCTGTTAAATTTCACTTCTTACTTGTACTTTCGGCTTGAAGATTCAATTTGCCGCGGCCATTGCCTAGTGCCATAAAACTGTTTATGGTTTCATATTAAACATGTAAATAATCTACAATCTTATTTTGTAAGTTAACCCCTTTTTATGGACATTTTATCTTTCAATTGACAAAACCACAAGCATTGTTGTTTGCATTAATGTTTTATCACTATGTAGGCCTGCTTGGTTTCAAATTATGTCATTGCATTTTCTGTATCTTTGTCTTATATTGTTGGCTATTCAGGTTTCAATGTTTTTTGTTTCCCATATATTTATTTATTGAGTTGTTTGCTTTAAGCAATCAAAATCTTATGAACTAGAATGAGGATAGTGACTTTGCTGCTATTATAACCTCATTGTTTGTTACTCAGTTTATATAGGCCCTCCTAAATAATTAGGTCTAGGCCTGGGTATTTTGATTCTTGAAAGAGCTGTAAAATATATTAAGAAAATGTAATTGAGCCTAAGATAAACAACTAATGATTGCTATGTGTCGATATTAACTTTACAAATGAAAATACAATAATCTTACTCTGTGCTTATTGCTTATTAATAGCCACTTACCATACCTTGATTTTGTACTAAGAATTGAGTACGGTAACAATATGCATTAAAGATTTTTTTTCGAGAACCTAACGTTGTGCCAAGGCGAATCATGCCAAATTAATCGGCCTGGAATCGGATAAGCTATGTTATGAAGTTTACGTGACTGATGGAGATATTTGTCGCTATCGCAGGAGACAATGATTGCGTTTCTCTGTTACACTATAAAAGCTTTACCTAAAGTATAGGTAGGCCTATGTTTGTTTACTTTCAATAAATTTCTATTTTGAAATTTTTAACTCTTATCTATTATTATTTACTTTTTTTTTTACTTACTCTGGTAACTACAGTGAATAACAAGATTAATACAGTTTGACAAATCAGGAAAATTATTCAGTAGGCCTAATGACACCGACAAAGGTTACGGCAAAGTGTCCTTAAATGTACGGGAATTGTCCATGAATTTTTTATCCAGAATGTAGTAGACACCCTGATTACTGTCTTAGATTCTGTAACTATTTGTGATATTTTTGTATTTTTATTAATGCCAGTAAAGCAAAAGTCAATTAATGACAGATTTAAAGAAATATGGGCCTCAATAAGGAAGTGTCATTGGACTTTGCTTCCAGCTAGGGCCCTCATCCCTCCAGCTCTATCTCTCTTCTCCTTTATTGTCTTATGTCAGGTTTTCTTTCTTTTCTTCTGTTTTTTCTGTGATTTTCACTCTTGAGCCTGTCTTTTGTCATCGTTTATTTCTGTTGCTTGTACCTAGCCATTTCCCCCATTTTATTTGTTCACTGGCAAGGCTCCATAGCTCATGGTTTGAAATTACTTCTGCGCCATAGGGGTTGTTACACTTTATTCCCACAGGTATATTGACAAACTTGTGTTTGATTGCAGTATCTCCTGATGTGAGAGATGTAGAGCAAGCAACTCTCATTCCCCCCACCCCCGCCTCAGCCAGTACAGCAGCTCTAGTCACCACCCAGCCTCCCAACTCTGCTCCTCCTCAAGGTAACTAACATGCTATCCTATGGGGCCTGTTTTAAAATAAAGGTCAGGAAGTAAACATTTTACTTAAAGGTGGAATAACAACACTTAATTCATTTGGTCAGTATTGACAATAATAATTACAAGCAAACTTTTTCGGTGTGATCAGGTTGGTAAAAACTCACTAATCAAGAAAAGTCATGTAAACTGCAAAGATTGTAGCAGCCAATCACCAATGCTATTTAAGTTTTGTAGTTAGTGATTAAATGCCCCCCCCCCCCCCTTAGTTACAAATCAATTTTTGTGAAACAAATTGTTACATTTTGTCAAACCATGCTGGGCAAGCAATTGAAGACCTTAGGGGATTTGTTGGGTCACTTACCTAGGGAACAAAGGATAAACGTCTCAAGCAAGAATTTTTACTGTATTGGTGACTTCATACAATATATGTTTGTTTAATGTGAATGTTGTGGTGTTTGTCACAGTGGTGGCCCCAGCAGTGCCAGCCAACTCCTTGGACATGTTGACAACTCTGTTGCCAGCCACAGAGCAAGGCCGTGCCTTGGCTAGCTACAGTGTGGACAGTGAGGGCAGCAACCCCGCAGTGGAACACAACAACGCCTCCAATGCACCTCGTTAGTACCCACAAATGTGTAGCGATTCAACATGTTTAAACCCTCGTGACTTTATACAGTAGATGTGCTTGCTTTTAACTGTTTAAGTCTTAAAAATGAGTCACTAGTTTTACCATGTTTTCATGAATGTTCAAATTAGTTTAATATTGTTTTCAATGACTTAATTCCAATTGATTTTTTTTCTATCCCTAATGTTTTGACCACTACACAGCCCCGCACCCAAAAGAGTTCTACTGTATGACGTTGACTAGGAGTAAAGTAACTTACAAGTTTATAAAAACTAAAAGTTTTATATCTTTATACAGGCTATGCACTATTTTTTAAAGTATTGGTTACCAATTTTTGTAGGCTATGTGCTCTAATAAATCACATATATATTATGAAGGTAAAAACTGTGTATGTAAGCCACAACCTTAACAATATGGCAACAATTAATATTTTTCCACAATTATTTGTTGATGAAGTCAAGACCACTTAGTTAAAATAATGTTCACACTATTTTTCCTATTACAGCTAGCGGTGTCCAGTCAGGAACTGGAGAGATCAATGTGACAGAGTTGCTACAGAAACTAATGGCCACTGGCATTGTACCATCTCTGGAGCCTCCCAAAGATAAGGTCCAAGACAAGCCTGTCACTACAGACTCCACTCTCATCAAACCTGTTGACTTCCGCAAGCCAGAGACACTCAAAACGTAAGTTCAGCTTCCCAGTGATGGCCTACAAGCTTTGACTATTGATACAACTAGACATTCTATTCCCATGTTAAAATTGTCACCAGTTTTTAAATCAAAATCGCCGTTGTTGATGTGAGCCGTTAGATTGGGCTGATCTAAATTCCTGTTGAATACACAAACGTTAAATCAAACTAATGAATGGACTTTTTGTGAGCTGTAGCAACTGCTATGACCTATCAACTTGCTCAGCAAACAATAAGATAGAAAATAGCATTTAAGACACTCCGCATTCTGTGTCTGGCTCGCACATTTATATGTTCTTTTTTTATTTTTATGGTATAGCCTCTGGATCACTGATTTTAACAATAAAAAGGTTTAAATTACCTGTATCCGTCAAGTGATCCTGGTTTGTAGTTGATTGACTACAGCCGTTTCATGTTGTAAAAACACATCTTCAGGTCAAACGTATATACATTGATTTAATCCATGGAATGGTCGTCAAGGTTTAAAGTTCACAAAAATAACACATACACGTACACGAAAACATTAAACATAAGTTGGCCAACACAAAAATACGAAAAACGCGTGATAGGCATCGGACACGTACGGCGCCGCTAGAAGGTAGGTCATGACTGTCGTGTGCCGGAAGTGATAGCCCCCCACTATCAGCTGTTATCTATTGTGGTCTAAGATGCGTATGGCGGCATTGTAAACAATGTTCGACTCGAATGAGAGTTTTTCATTTAAGATGTTATCAGGCTGTTTTTTTGAAGCACGATAAATTTCAAATTCTTCTAATGTGTCCATGTATTTTCCTTTGTTACATAAATGGAGAACGTTGAGATTATTGTTTATATCTGTATAGTTGTGGTTGGAGTTAATCAAATGGTTGGAAAATGCCGACTTAGAGGAAATTTTAGGCAGGTGTTCTTTGAATCGGGTGGTAAATGATCGTGACGTCTGGCCTATGTAGAAGCTCGGGCAGTCATTGCAAGACAATTTATAGACTCCGGTTTTATTGAACTTGTTGTCTGCCCCTTCTCGTTGGTATCTTGATTTTAGCATCGAGTCAAGTCTATTTGACGTCTTGAATGCTACAACGATGTTACTTTTTGTCATTTCGCTTCTTAAGGTGTTATTAAGAACAACGCCATACTCAGCACTGACGTATTTTTTATTATTTTCCCCATCCAAACTCGGTCTGGTTGTGTTGGAGTGTTTTTTAATGAGTTTGTCAATTAAGGAAGGTTTGTAACCGTTGGATACAGCAATGTACTTTAATATGCAAACCTCATTCTTGTAATCAGTATTGTTGAGGGGAATGGACAATAGGCGGTGGACAAAACTATTATAAGCGGCAATCTTGTGGCTGTATGGATGGTGTGAAGATGCGTGTATTGTCTGATCAGTCGTGGTCGGTTTCCGGTATATCTTAAATTGCAAACTATTTTCGTTCTTTGTAATAGTGACGTCCAAGAAATTTATTGAATTGTTGTTTTCGGTTTCTAGAGTGAAGCTTATGTTGGGATGGATACTGTTTAAGAATGTTCCAAATAGTTTTAACTGTCTCTCGTTGCCATCAAACAAGATCAAAGTGTCATCGACATATCGGCAGTAAAATGACAACTTGTTTTTATGCCGGTTATTATCTGACCATAGGTGCTGATTTTCGAAATGGTTCAAAAATATCTCAGACATGATGCTGGAAAGGGGGGAGCCCATTGCCAAACCTTTATTTTGAATGTAATAGGAAAATACATGGACACATTAGAAGAATTTGAAATTTATCGTGCTTCAAAAAAACAGCCTGATAACATCTTAAATGAAAAACTCTCATTCGAGTCGAACATTGTTTACAATGCCGCCATACGCATCTTAGACCACAATAGATAACAGCTGATAGTGGGGGGCTATCACTTCCGGCACACGACAGTCATGACCTACCTTCTAGCGGCGCCGTACGTGTCCGATGCCTATCACGCGTTTTTCGTATTTTTGTGTTGGCCAACTTATGTTTAATGTTTTCGTGTACGTGTATGTGTTATTTTTGTGAACTTTAAACCTTGACGACCATTCCATGGATTAAATCAATGTATATACGTTTGACCTGAAGATGTGTTTTTACAACATGAAACGGCTGTAGTCAATCAACTACAAACCAGGATCACTTGATGGATACAGGTAATTTAAACCTTTTTATTGTTCTTTTTTTAATAAAAATTTGGTGACAGCTATTCCATATAGACGGAATGTCAACTTCAGTTATTCAGTAATAAGCTACCTATAGCGACACTTGGATTTAAATAGGCCTACCTTTAAGCTTCATCGTCATTTCTAATAAAGTAAGTTTACCACAAGGTTTTGGCTCACTTATATTTTTAAAAAATATTTTCAACATATCTATGATTCAACTTAAGGATGACGTTATTTATTTGACCAAATGATTTTTTCCAGGAGACAAACATCATTGATATCCCACCTGTACTCGGGCATACAGTGCAACTCGTGTGGTGTCCGTTTTCCTCCAGAGCAGACAATGAAGTACTCCCAGCACCTGGACTGGCATTTTCGTCAGAATCGTAGGGACAAAGACTCATCTCGAACTGCTCAGACTCGTCGATACTACTACGACGTCAGCGACTGGGTACAGTTTGAGGAGATTGAAGATTTAGAAGAGAGAGGTTGGTAAAATCTTTGTTTACTTTTATTTCAAGCCACTGAAGGTTTAGTTTTAGTAAACATAATCACAATTATTTTCTACTGATAGAGGTAGACGTTCCATTCCGATTTTAACCTCTTGCAAATTTGAGGAAACTTGGCACTGCTGACTGAGTGTACTTTGTCAATTACCAATAGCTGGTGAATACGTCAAGAGTTTTTACCCAAGCAAAATTATTTAAAAATGTGGTATCTTCAATGTTATTATCGAACTATCAAAAATGGAGGGAGAGGTTAGGTTTTTGACAGTAGGACAGTTTATGAGTGGCTCAATCAATGTATTTAAATTAAGAGTTGGCCGCAGTAGCCCATTTAGATGAGATTGCTAAGTATCCAAAATGAAGTGATATTAAATTGGTGGGTAGGGTACTTTCCTGTTAAGGGGAACATTCATTATCGATGACTTCTTTTCGATAGCCTATATCGATATTTTTGTTTTCCTTTACGATCCATATTCCATCTGTTTTAATATATTCAAACTTCAAACGCATTTAAAATACAGACAGACAAACAGACATAGCAAATATGTTTAAGTTATACTTGGTTCAATAACCAAGTTATTGAGTTATAGCTCGTATTAGAGAATAGGATTAAAATCTTGTTTAGGCAAAGATATTTGCCTATATATATTGGATTAAGAAATGAAACTAACCTAACATAACTAACCAAACTTGCTGTAGGCTAAGTTACCTTCCAATTCCAATTGATAACAGAAAATGCATGGGGAATAGGCTATCAAAAGGAATTTTGAAACGTTACAGCAAGTTAGGTTAGCTTAGAACAGTTTCATTTCAATATAATATATTTTTTTTTATTGTTTGTTGATACGGAACAAGATTTATTTTATCATAGTTGTCAGCTGTTAAGATTCAATTTGTTAATATCAATATATCGAATAAAAAAAATATCGATAGCCTATCTCGAAAAGAAATCATCGATAATAATGAATGTTCCCCTTAACAGGAAAGTGAAAGTACCAATTGGTGCACTAAGTTCCTGTTATAAACAGCATTATTCATAGCTTGCAATGAGGATGTGGATGTAGAATTTACTTCCCCAAAACACATTTTGTAATATTTTATGAATGGAAGAGGTAATAGTGGTTTTAACCTAGAGCTTGTTAAATCGAGTAGTATGTATACTAACTGTATGATGTATGTTTCAGCCCAACCATGGTTTGAGATGCAAGATGGCGCTGGCGAGGAGGATGAACCAGAGCGGATCATGGTGAGTGTAAGAGCTGCAGACTATCCAGAAGAAGCAGCTTGTCATATATGTCATGACAAGTTTGAGTCTTTCTACAACGAGGAGAAGGACGAGTGGCATCTCCGCAATGCAGCTGACCACGAGGGCAATCTGGTGCATCCCATCTGTCTGGAGGACCAGAAGGTAAAATGTCCATATACATAGTATATGTAGAAAGAATTGTTTAATACTTTTTTGAGTTTGAGTGAAAATATTTGTTTTGGGGCCCACTGAACTCAAAAAGTTGTTTTCATTTTTTATGTGTGTAAATCTACAGACCCTGGTCCTATGATTTCTCAAGGGGCGTATTTTAAATGGTGATTTTCCTGTAAAATTCCGTTAAATAACGTAAAAAACCTATTTTTACAATAACGGCTCTAAGAATTTGGACTAAAATTTAGTATGTTATAGACCTTTTACCTCTAAACAAAATGGCACAACCCCCAATGCTGTAACAGAGTTACGGTTAAAAAATTATTGCAATTTTAGTAATTTTCCAAATAAAAACCTTGATGTTTAATTATTTACACCAAGAGAATAGGAGAAAGTTTTTAATACTAATCCAAGATGTAACCAAGATATATAACCAAGATGTATAATTTTAGGAAGATTGGAATTATTTTGATTTTCAATACCTTAGAAAGAGAAAGGACCATAAATTCTTGATCCCCTTCTTCTAAGTAGCTACTGTATTAGGTTTTTATACTGATTTTAAAATCTTCACAATTAATGGTGACAAAATCTTGACCATCTTCTCAATTCACCATTTCATCACGATTTCTCCCATCCATAGGTATATTGTGAGTTTTGCAACTTTGCAACCTTTGCAGATGTCTTTTATCTAAAAATATTGCAGTATTCCCATCTCAAAGAAATGTCAAAATTATTCAAATCCCACTAGAAAAATAGGAAGTATTCTTTTCTACTTTTACAGATTCTAAAAATTTAGAATGGGAAAAAATTCTTGTCTTCTTACTTCAAAACTAATCTTTTCTGAATAATTAATTAGTTAATGTTTAGTTCACTTTAAACCATTGTTTTTGCTCATTTTGTATCTTTATTTAATCAGGAATTGAACAGTTTCGGATTTGGTCTATCAATTGTTGATTTATTTTAAACTTCAAATAATCTTTGTCAACCACAGACATGGTTAATCTCACATTTTCTTAAGAAATTATTTACTTATTGAAATTTGTAATAGTCTTCTTAAATACTCAAGGAATTACTTTCTTTATCCAAACATTTGTATCATGACTATACATAATTATTCATGAGGCAATAAAATGAATTCTGTTTACACTTCTAATAAGTATTTTTCCTAAATTTTGTATTTTCAAAAGAAAAGTTGATTATTCGATTTGTCTGAGAGTGTCTGTGTGGTTCAACTACTCAAACAGAATTTTGTTCCTCAGGCTGCTGCTGAGAAGCCAATAGTGGTAGAAGACATTGACATCACTGAAGACGAGCCAAAGGAAGAGGAACCTAAAAAAGAAGAAGAATCCGAGGAAAAGAAAGAAAAGGAAGCTCCAAAGGAGGAAGATGATGATGACATAATGGAAGTTACAGACATTGAATACATCAAGCCTGTATTCCCTGTGGAGGATTTGACAGTTTCTGATAATGAAGAAGAAAAAGAAACAAAAGACACAACTGAAAACGAAGACAAAGAACTGAAAAAAGATGAAGGAGAACCATCAGAAGAAGTATCATCAACAACAGAGATGGAGGAGATACCCAAGGAATCAAAAGATGAGAGTCAAGGTTTGTTTTAAAGCTTTGCCTTTTTTTAGCTATGTATTCTTGTTAGTTAATAAGATTAGAATCATGTTGGATCAGACTGAAAATCAACTACTTCCCCTTAGATGATCTTTCTAACGATTTTTAAATTCACATTATAACACTCCCTCTTGTCTTGTGACTGGGGTGGAGTATTTTTGTCACCAATAAATTAATAGGTATGTAACTTTCTTTAAAAGTAGTTCTAAAATATGACCAGTTTAAGAAGTGGACATGAAATCAACCTAAATTGATGTTAGAGAGTGTTAAGCAGTTACAAATCTGTAGATTAATCTTGTGTATTTTTTGTCAATTTACTGCTAAATACCATTCTCATTTTTCACAAATTTTATTACAAATTTTTTCTAACTATTAATGTCAAGGACTTGAGTTATCTTTAGTTGTGAAGCTCAAAGAGAGACCTTGGAGATTATTAGTTAGAGATAACTAACATATTTACACAGATTGCAATTAAATCCTAGTCCACTATAGTTTTTGCACTACTAATTACACTTTTTTTGTAAAGGCACTGTTAGAGAGTCAGGAATTGTCTTTATTGGATCTGTATATGATTTTATAACTGGAAGTTAATGCAAACCGCTCTGCTAAAGCTGGGTTTTCCTAGACGCGGAGTCGGCCAGCGGAGAGCGGACAACGGAGAGCGGAATTGAAATTAACATGGCATTCCGCTCCGCTGCTAGGAAAACAGTAACATTAAATTACCTAAGACAAGCTAAGTCCGCTCTCCGCGTTCCTCTCTCCGCTGGCCGACTACGCGCCTAGGAAAACCCGGCTTTACTGGCCTGTTTCCCAATGTGTTGTTGTCTCATTGTCAGGAGGTTTAATCCTTTTAAAATATGGTTACGATTGAAGGAAAGGTAGGTGGTTCCTCATACATTTACTTTGAGGATTTTATCGGTGGTAGCCTAAGCCTCAGGATTTAATTTGGGGGGGGGGGAGTGTCACCCTGCGTCAATTTAGAGCCTTAAAAATTATTATTTAGGCGAGGGGGTTCACCCTGATATTTCGGGGGAAAGGGGGAGCTATCCCTCCCCCTGGGACCGCAACTGGATTTTATTATTCTACATACCCCTTTAATAAGCTCACACAGGTACATGTTTGTTTAGGTCTCCTCATGTGTTTAAACGTTTTAAAAGGTATTCGGCCAAATATTGATGGTTATGCCCTTAACCTGGTGGGTGATTGATCTTGCAATGTTACAAGCCACAGTCGTTAAAAGCTATTTTATAATTTCCAGATGGTGAGGAGTCTAAAGAAGGAGAGGAGAAGGAACCAGAGACTCTGGTCAATGAAGACTCACAGGACGACCTTTTGATGTTGGTGGACAAGGTAGACGACAGCATCCTCAGCAAAGATGAGATCATGGAGGTTGTGAAGAACATAAAGAAGGATCCAGATGCACTAGGGGGAGAGTATGAAGAATCTGACGTCAAGAAAGAGAAGGGAGAAATCCCGTTACCTGCACCTGTTGTGGACACCACGCACGCCACCGTTACCTGTCTTATAGATGGAAATGTCGAGTTTGAGGAAGCTGCACAGAAAATTTCCCAGGGACCTCCCAGAATCAAAATCAACATCTCTAAAGCAATACAACCTGCACCTAAAGAAAAAAAGGATGAAAGTAAAGAAGAAGAACCAACAGAGACCCCTACTATTCCTGACATTATTTCTGATAATCCCAAAGTGACTCCAACTTCGCTGAACTGTCAGCCGTTACCTCCAGGCGAGGAACCGATACCTGTTACGAAAAAGGAGAGACTCAAGAAGGCAGAACTAGTGGAATATCCACCAGTTGCTAGAGACAAAGAATTATCAGGACTTTGCTCTATAATGTAAAGCTATGTAATTTAATAAATTGGCCAAAGATCAGTTTCAGATTAATAATGAGTATCAGAACTTTGTTCTAATATGTAAAGCTCTGTAACCAATTTGTCTAAAATAAGTTTCAGATTATCTGTATACACAAAGATCAAATTTGAAAGTTTTTAAATCTATTTTGAGATCACAATATGTAAATATGTATAGATAATATATGCAACGAGCAGTGTTTTATATTGTTCTTGTGTATTTGTAATTATATTTTGGATTAATACTTTTTCTTATTGACATGTTGGGTTTTTATTTAATCCTTATGGTTGTGTTGGTCATGACTAGATGTTAACCAAAAGTGTACAAATTGTTGTATGTTAGTTTTGGAATAAATGCATAGATTGAAAAAATAAGTGTGTCATTAACAATCCTTTTTTTCTTAAATGGAAACAAAATGTTTATGCTTGTAAATTACAACCAGAATTAAAGAAAAAATGTTTCTAATATTTACCAGTCAGTACATTATTCATTAAATTAAAAAAAAAGATGAACTTGAGCCTCATAGAATAAAACAAACAATTCCTCAAGACAAAATTCCAATTAAAAAAAACCTGAATGAGAAAGGATCAGAGTTTTATTATCTAATTGAGCAAATAAAAGTGTTATTATAACAAAACAAAGGGTCAATAAAATAATGATGGTTTCCAGAGACCAATTTTTAAATTGTATAATTGAAAAAAGTACTATCCTGTAGGTGTAGAGAGATGTGTGCGACTTAAAATTTAGCAATTTTACAGTCTAATAACTTGCGATCAATAATTCATTTACCTAATGTTCAATATGCTGATTATTTGAAATCATACTTCATATACCAGTGTTCTTTATTATTATTAATAGTGATCAGCCTCATCTGTAACGATGGTAATGAATAATACGACTGATATTATTAGTATTAACATGGATAAAACATACCCCCTTAGTAGATTTCTCATCCTTATGGAAAACCTAAAGCCAATTTTATTGTTAGTTCTGTTCTGTGCACTGTAGAGGTTGTGTTTTGTTTACAATTTGTTGTTATTTCAGTAATTTAAAACCTCATTTAACCAAATAAAATGATCTAATCATAAACAACAACTTGTCACCTAGTTATATAACCAAAGCACAAGTAATTAAATTAACCCTAAAATAGAAGAAACAAAATTTCTTCGACACTAGCGATCAGTATCAGCGGACGGACATAAACTAGTCACGAAAAATAAGCTAAAAAATTTACAATGGGATGAGAAGTCTACTTGTGTTGGTTAGTCAATGGTAATACATAAAAACAGAACTGAAAATGTGGGTCATTAATTTTATAAAAACATATTGTGATATTGTTTTAAAAGTAGTACTTTGTCAGCAATGCAATTATCAATCAACAGACAGTCATTCGTGCTTACTTTAAACACCCGTAAGTTTGTGTAAGTTGCAATTCGAGTGCATATTACAGTGAAGAGTGTAAAATACCATGGTGAAATTATTTCCAGGCATCTTCTATCTATATATTAATAGGCGAGCATGTTTCTTTAAAACCTTTTTTCTCAGCTCGTGTGCATCGTAGGTGAAATCTACGCATACCGTTAGAAAGCTATTTTCCTCTAGGTGTGCAGAATCCCTTTATAAATTTAAATAGGCTCAAAGATAAGCACGAAAAATGAGTTTAAAAATTTGAAAAAAATTAACATGGATCTTATGCGTTGCCATGGTGACGAAATAACAACGAAATATAAACAGAAAATCAAAACAAATGGAAGAAACTCCAATCACATGTTTTATTTACAGTGTGGGGTAAAAATAGATAAGTGAGTACAGTACATTGGACATTTTTGGTCGAGTTTCGACCACTGGACGACCTCTCGTTTTACTTAAAAGGTAAACTCTCAATAATTTCACATTCACTCGGGGGAATGGTGGAAAGTGAAACACAGGTTTAAGTAGACAAAAGTATATTTTACTACTATACTAATTGATTATGTGTCTTTTCCACCCAGTGATTGTGAAATTATCTAAATAAGAACACAATTCTCATTATTTTATTGTCTGAGCTTGGATGGAAAGGTTAAGGTTGTGGAACTAGAGTTTGCAGTTGTGAGGCCATCGGGGAAACGGGATTGCATCTTTAATGTTTGGGATACCAAGAATTACTTGGAGAAGCCGGTCAAATCCCATTCCAAAACCCCCTGTGGGTACATTTCCAAATTTTCTCAATTCTAAATACCAGGCTAGTTTTTCTTCCAGATTATGAGCTTTAAGTTTTGCCTCCAAAATGTTATATTCGTCTTCTCTCAAGCTGCCACCACAAAGTTCCCCAACATTATTACACAGCAAGTCTACTGCGTGAACCTGAAAATATTGCCAATAAGGTACCAAGGATTTTGACCAATCAAAGTAGTTTTTATTTAGTGAACATGTTTTGCCTCGTCTAATGTTGTATAAACATGATTTCAGTATGAAATTATTAGACAACCTATAATTATATTACACATAGACCAGGTGTCACTTGGTTAACAGTACAGAAAGACCACGGGCCAGTGATGCAGCAAAGAAAATAACAATTTTGCCAACTATCATATGACATCACTTATCATCATACCCACAGACCAAGGGACGCATATGTGCGAAATACTGCTCTGTAGACCACTGCAGAGAATTCAGGGCCTTAAAATAGACCCGATACAAAGATAAAAGCTTTTAATCTAACAAAAAACCACTAAGTGGTAACACTTTCCCCGCCAAGTCAGCAATCCAAAAAAAGATAATAAATCATTACTTTTTTCCGCCAAGAAAAACAACGTAATGTATGTAAGTTTGGCAACTTGGCGGCAGACTTTTGCTTGGTTTTTTCATTGAAGTTACGTTCGTGGATAATTTCACAAATCAACTTCTCTAATTAATTAGTCCAACTAAGTATAATAATTTCGAGGTAATCAGTAAATATAAAACCATCACTATGACGAATTTATGAAATGTGGCACAAATAAGGTCTTATTTTGTAAAATAAGCTCTCACCTAGCAATGTACTAATGGGAGAGATACTTGCTCAATGAAACTAGTTTTATGGTATTTTTTAAAGTGATCGAGCAAAAGTCTGCCGCCAAGTTGCCAAACTTACATACATTACATTGTTTTTCTTGGCGGAAAAAAGTAATGATTTATTATCTTTTTTTGGATTGCTGACTTGGCGGGGAAAGTGTTACCACTTAGTGGTTTTTTGTTAGATTTTATTTATTTTTGTAGAAAATTAACAGTTAAAATAAAAATCCTCCTTTCTCTGATATATAGACCACGGCACAACTACATTTCATTTAAATTCAATAATATTGTTTGTGTATAACTAAATTCTACATTTTTGGTCTTATCTGCTTTAAACCGATTGAAAACTTTTTGACACACGTATCAAAATTACTATTTAACAAACCCCCTGGGCTTAAACTCAGTTTCAAATTTCATCAATGGTCATCTTGAACAACATGAAATGCGTCGGTGTTACATAAGTGTTCTGATAATTAAACCCGTACATCTAAAGACTAGTGTAAATTGAGCCCTTATTAGAGAAGTAAAAATGTAATCAAACGGATTAAGTTTGTTAGAAACAGCATAAAAAAAACAAATATTGAAAAACTCATCTATCCTAAATTTACATATCACTTTTTAATTGCTTGTTTAACATACGTAGAGTGATTTTCCCGATCGTTTTATTTGTTTTAGTGTATCAAAACATAAAACAAACCTTAGTACTAGTACTAAGTTTCAAGTTCCTAGTTTTCATATGTTTTAATAAGTAGTAGTATTAAACTGTTAAAAATGACGAGCTGTTGTACCAGTGTACCATCGGTACACTGCATTTTTTCAACGGAAAGTATCGGGGAATATCACTGCTTTAAGTAATTTTATATAGTAAGTAGTTCAAATCATTCGGTATACCTGCAAAAAATACTCTATAAAAGTTTTAAAATCATTTTCAGCTGTTCCTATGAATTTCTCTAACATTTAAATTAAATGAGATTTAATCGCAGCTGGTCCTTCTTTTGTTTTTATTTTAATCCCATGTTATTTAAATGGGCCAAAATCGTACTTTGAGGGCTTGCCAAGGGTTTATGGGCCAACGCACCGACTTGAGACCCTCAAAAGGCACATCTACACGTTAAGGGCTTTCAAACAACATAAAAAACATTAAAATTGAGCCAGTGGTTTGGGCTGTAGGTCCGTCAACATTCAAAGAGAAGAAGGAGAACACGGAAAATTTGTGAAATTTCAAACTATTTTTTCTGGCTCAAACACAACTGTTTTTTGAAATTCTTTTTTTTATTTTGTTGAGAATGAGTGCCCCTATCCAGTAGATGAATAATTATTTTAATAGCTTTTGTTTCTTCAGAGCTATAGACGAGTAAAAAAGCCACTTTTTCACGTCATGTATATATACACTGCAGCAGCTGTGTACCGCTGGGAGACTTGGCGGGGCGGAACGCTGCCGCGTTCCTTAATAGCATTGGAATACTGACGCAAATATGCAACGGCCAGTTTCTACTCATAGACTACGAATTCATGGCCTTAAAATAGACCCGATACAAAGATAAAAGCTTTTAATAGCATTGGAATACTGACGCAAATATGCAACGGCTAGTTTCTACTCATAGGCTACATTAAAATAGACTGACGTCGCATATTTGCATCTGTGTTCCAATGTTATTAAAAAACTTTCATTAACGTATCGTTCTATTTAAGGCCATGAATTCTCGGCAGGGGTCTACAGGGAAGTCTGTCGCACATGTGTGTCACTTATCTGTGGATATGGATTAGTGATGTCATGTGATAGTTAGTTGGCAAAACTGTTTTTTACTTTGCTGCATCAATGGCCCGTGGTCTGCGTTTACTGTTAACCAATTAATACCCGGTCAATGTGTAATATTAAAATGTATTCTGTACCCCAGTCCGTGGCAATGACCGCAGTGTCGCATATAGGCAGCGATCGGTAGCAAACTTGTTTAACTGTTTGTCAAAGATTTCATTACTCAGAAAAATTATATCAGTTGACATTTCTTGTGTTTTTTAAATCAAAGTCTACAGTTAAGTGTTCCCAGTCATATTATCATAATGAACAGAATTACCCTACCTACTGTATGCTGCTATTCAATAAGAAAACAGTACATCAATAAAACAATGCTTGGTTATTTTACTTTACAAGTTAAAGTAGCAAAAGTCCACGACTTTATTTTAAAACACTGCATGAATGTCAAATGCAATTTTGGTACTGCACTATTGCCCTATAAACTACCTCATAAATATCAAACATTTAAAATACTACACAGACAAACATCTTTGATAGGCAATAGGGATAAAGTGGAAGTGTAAAGTTAAACTTGTTTATACAATTTGCCATTATATACAAGAGGTTAAGTTACCTTGATTCTGTCCAAGTAATCCTTAAGTCGTCATTAGTGCGACCGGTTTCGATGTCTATGGCATCATTGTCAAGCTGAACGTAAAAATCGCTCCTAGGAGGTCGTCATGAGTCTTGAAACACATGTAACAGGTAACACATAACACGTACATGAACAAAAAACGATAAAATGCATGGCCACACAACTAATTTACAACACGGCGGCGGGTACAGGGTGTAGGTCTAGACTGACGCCGTGTCTTCCTCTCCCCACCTTCCCCCTCGAGTTATCAGCTGTTGATAATATTTCGTCGATGTTTAAAGCTGTCTCATAAATTATATTGGATTCAAATGAGGATTTATCATTTAGGATGTGTTGGGGGTGTTTTTTTCCGGCCTTGTAAATTTCGTATTCCTCAATAGTTCCTCAACGAAATTTACAAGGCCGGAAAAAAACACCCCCAACACATTTTAAATGATAAATCCTCATTTGAATCCCAATATAATTTATGAGACAGCTTTAAACATCGACGAAATATTATCAACAGCTGATAACTCGAGGGGGAAGGTGGGGAGAGGAAGACACGGCGTCAGTCTAGACCTACACCCTGTACCCGCCGCTGTGTTGTAAATTAGTTGTGTGGCCATGCATTTTATCGTTTTTTGTTCATGTACGTGTTATGTGTTACGTGTGTTTCAAGACTCATGACGACCTCCTAGGAGCGATTTTTACGTTCAGCTTGACAATGATGCCATAGACATCGAAACCGGTCGCACTAATGACTTAAGGATTACTTGGACAGAATCAAGGTAACTTAACCTCTTGTATATAATTCATGAAGTAATCCGGAAGGCAATACACAAGATGAAATTTGCCATTATTTCATTGGCTAAATGATTTTTTTAAATATTTGTTCAGCCATATTGGCATTTGCATGTATTAGATATTGAAATAAAAACTATGAATGTTTAATAAGTTATAATAACTTACCTTCTTAGAACTATCATCAACAGCTTTCATATAGAATGGCTTGGTTTCAGCTGGCCATTCCACCACAAATATAGGAGTGTTTTCATTGTGTTTGACTAGAAAAAGTTCATGTTCTTTACTCAAAGGTTGGCCTTTGACTAATGGCTGACTAAATTGATCACTACGACTTTCCAAAATCCTATAAACATTATCATACGTATCTACAGCGAAAGGGGATTTGAGAATCTGTTCTACATTTAAGATTCCTTCTGTTTGCTGCATCTTTGAATATAACGCCAAGTCTTCAGCAGCATTTTCCATCAGATATTGACATATGTGTTTGACTAGACCTTCCATGACAATTAATATTTCCTTTAAATCATCAGCAAATGCAATTTCTGCTTCAGCCATGTAGAACTCAGCTAAATGCAAACGAGATTTGGAGTTTTCAGCTCTGAAAGTTGGGCCGCAGCAGTATACATTTCCTATAGCCCTGAAAAATCAACCAATTAGTAAAATATGGACAACTAATTAAATCTTTTAACTTCAAAATATTATTTTGAAATGTCTGGCAAAAATATAATATCTAATTTTCAAATAACTATATACACTGATGGCAAACTTAACAAACTCTAGTAGTTTTATTACAGTAAAGCGTCGGTAGTTTGGACGTAAAAAATCTAGACCGTCAATAATCAGGATTTTTCTCTAGTAAGAAATAAACCGTCTTTTAAAACCATTTAGGGCCTTAGCTCAAAAAAGCAAACCACTGCCACAGTTCAAATGCCAATCACACATTTTTAAAAGCCCATATATGTAGTGTTTATGTTTTACTATTCACGGTACACATCTTACTAATATTATAAATGTGAAAGTTTGTGTGTTTGTTTGTTTGTTTGTTTGTTTGAAGGTCAATCACGCATAAACCACTGGATGGATTAGGCTGAAATTTGGCATGATGATAGCTCACATTCCCGATTAACATATAGGCATATTCTCATCTCAAAAATCCCTTCGGGCTCCGCCCCAGTGGTTCTGTATTTCCCCATGTTAACCTTATGAGTATTCATATTTAAAGGGAATTAAAGAATTTAGTCAGCTGTTTCAACTAAAAAAAGTTGGTTCTATGATATACAAAAGCGTTAAAAAGTTATAAGATTTACCAACAGGGTGCAGCACTATATTTCTTTCTGCATATATGTAAACAGCTAATTTGAACTATAAGCAGCAACAAACAACTGTGATACGCAATGAGAACTGTCAAAGTAGGATTGTTTACAGTTATGTTTATGTTTTTAATGTCATGAATAATTTGTGATTTTTTAAATTTGTAATACTTTATTTTTCTTTATCGTTTAGGTGAAGAGGTAGAACATTATGGCTATGGTAGTTGTGTAATACCATAGTATACCGTCAATTTAAAGAAGCAAATTTTATCAAACTTTGTCCTCCCCCATTGCAAACTCAAAGCTTGAGTATAACTGCAATAAGCAATTTAAACTTATATGCCAACCCCGTACGAAGGACGGGTACTCTGCTAGTGTTGCTATAAATTAAATAAATACTATACAGTGATTGAACAAAAAATGTTAAGAGGGTTCTACCCGTCAGCCTGAATTTCAATCCAAGATGGCGGATTATATGAATTGAAATATAGTTTGGGATTGAACATGCCTCTATTATACAAGCTCTCAACATTCTACTAGCACTAGTTTGTTTCCAATGATTGTGTACTTTTTGAGCTCTTAACAAATCAGAGCTTGCAATGAATGGAGGAATATTAATTTGTTACTATAATTAAGAAGTTAAAATTACATGTGATAAAGACTAATTTAAGTATTTTCAAAAATGATTTTGTAATACTTAAAAAAACCCTTTCTGAATATTTTACAGCTTAATTCAACTCGATAAACACCTGCCACGAGATTATTTGTAGATCTATGATTACGCGGTAAGCAGCCGGGGGGTGGAACCCTCTTAATGTATCTCTCTTTTACAGGGATACATCCTACCCTTTCCTGTAGGATCTATGATAGAAATTATAAACATATTTTAAAGTTGTTTGTTTTTAAGATAGTTTTGATAATCCGGATTAAGTCCAGTCCCAATTAATCTGGATTATTGATGTTCTACTATAAAATTAACTAGGCTAATAGTTAACAGTTCCATTGCTTTAGTCATAGCCGATGACGTCACATCACGCCGCCATATATCCTACTCATCCTTAGTCTAGAGCAATGATGAAAGCATAAATTTACAACCACCGTAACCCTACTGCGGCCCACTGAATCTTAAGGTTTACTGCAATAAAAATTATCAGTACAGAACAGCCAATTTTGAACTACGTACTGTATCTTTTATTGGTGAGGTGATATTTGAAAACAAATCATATAGTTAATATTTCTCGTTTAAAATTTAACTGCTATTAATATTTATATTTTTTTTGCCAAAAATAACTGTTATTTGTAGTAAAAACTCCAAATTATGGAAACTAACTTTTATACTCACCGAGCAGCGACTTCTAAATGTAACTGACCGGAAACAGTCAAGAAGGTTTTACCATTGAAAAATACTTCTTCAGGTGATACGACTACAGGTGGAGCCATTTCTTTCAACAACTGCTTACTGTCCGGTGTGACTGAGAACACTTCACCAGCTCCCTCACAATCATTGGAAGTGAGAACAGGGACGTCGATCTTGATGAAGCTTAAGTCATCAAAATACTGATCTAAAGCTCTAGCAGTATGATGCCTCACTCGGAGGAGGGAGCTGAATGTACGTGTTCGAGGCCTTAAATGAATAAATTGACGCACATATTCAGGTTGATAAGATTTCCTTGGAGCAAACGGATAACCGTCCATAACCACACATGGTCCAATCACTTCAATTTTGTCTGGTATCAGCTCCAATTGTTTGTTAGGATTTATGTTTAACTGACCGTTTACTTTAATAGAGGATCCATATGTTAAGCCTTCAGGAACACTATCTTTAGGAACCGTTATTTGTAGACTTTTAGGCCAAGAACCATCGTCAATATCTACAAAGGTGTATTCTTTAAATTTTCTAATAGCCTTCACCCAGCCCTGAAACAAATTTGCTGACTTAAAATGTGTCTGTAATTTCAAATTGTTTTTGTTTTTGGAATTGGTATTAACACAGGGTTTATGTAATGTTAGTTTTATTTTATCTTTAAATAGTTTACACAAATATACAGGCCTAATGCAATTTCATGTAATTCATACCAAAATTCCTCGAGTGGTTGCGTTCACAGACCTACCTGGGAAAGCCTAGATTAAGGCGACAGTGGGCTACCTGGAAAAATTTTAACAAATATCTATTTTGTCCTCTGGGGCCTCCAAATCATTTGGTCAATTGGTCCCAGGTCTGATTCTTACCTTTGTTATGGTCTTACCTATGGTATGTCACCTACGGTAATAGCTAAGTCCTATTGGATGAAATCCGCTGAAAACAACTAGAAATTTTATTAGCAGACACAAGAAAAAAGCGGAGCAAAGATTCACCTTTACCAAAATACCGGTACTCATGCACAAGGATCAGGAAATGACAAGCAATAACATTCAGCAAACGATGAATTCACAAACTCCCATCCACACTAGTTGTGATTTGGCGAGTAGTGTTCGGTATTTGGCAAATGCCGCATGTGTGGACCTACCTTAACTGTCTGTAATGTTATCTAAAGGAACTCTAGATGAAGTAAGCAAAGTATTGTTATTATACCTTACATTACAATAGTTTTGCCTGTTGGTAAGGTTGATATTTCACTCATTATAAAGTGTACCCATTCAATGAAATGGGTAGACGTATGTTAAACCCTATTAAGTTTTTACACTATTCCCATGGGTTAAGTTTTGATATCCGACTTCATCATGGTTTTTTATAGGCTGGTTCCCAAACTTTTCGGTTTGACGGCCCACTACCATCTTTGAATTTGTTTTCAGACCCTCCTGTTAAATAATAATAATAGGCTATGATTATTTATTATTATAAATTTATTAATATAATAATTTACACTGAGAAACACACAATTAGGCTTAAATGAAAATTGTGAGGAAGATATTGTAAGTTACAACAACTGGTCCAAAACACTAATGTTTAAAAAACTTTAACTATTTAGAAGTTTAGTCCTACTATTTAGACCTTCATGAAACTTTACGCGGATTGAATGCTGACAACTAACCGTGTGTGTTGGGCATTTTCCACACATATCCTACTTGTATTTAATTAGGTAGGTTACCCTTTCTCAAAAATATGCTTTTACTTGATTTTTAAAACTGATTGGATTTATCACAAAACCATTCAACTAAACTTTTATTCCGTAATCGTGGCACTAACGTGATAGATAATCTCCATCGATCATGGTCACTTAATAATCATCTCCCTTGTTCGCGGTAACATCATGATCATCCCCACGTTTCATGATTAGTTCAAATACGTATGGGCTTCGTTAGTCCTATATTTATTGCGGCAATATTTTAAATTAAAGGTCACAAAAACTTTGAGGACATCTTCCATGATCACAATATCAGAGCATTATTCACCCCCCAAAAAGCCTCAATTTCAAATCTAGCCTGCACACAAAAACTGGGAGCAATAATCTCCCAAACAATTAGTGTTTAAAAATCCTACTTTTAAACTAAAAAGACACATTAACCATGTTAAACTGTGAACTTCTAAATTACAGCCATGCCCCATGCTCCCCCGCTTGGTCTATTCTGGTGCTCACCAGACCGTTTCAGGGCTTCACTTTAGTTTACATTTACCGTACTCACATAGGTAAGTTAAAGCATGTTTGGTTAGGTTAAGTTAGCTTAGAACAGTTTCATTTTATAATCAGCTGGTAGTTAAGGTATAATGTATCCTTTGACTATTCAGGTAGACATCCCATCACCATTTTAAATTTCTAGCCAGTTTTTTTTTTACCAAAATCGTTGTAGCCTAGTTGATGTGAGCCACTAACAGATTGTGCTGATCTAAATTACTGAAATGACTTGATGTCGAATACACAGTATTTTTTCCAATAATTCAAACTAATGGAATGACTTATTGTGAGCTATAGCAACTGTTATGACCCATCAACTTGGCCAGCAACAAACAATATGGTAGAAAAAGAGTTTGTCACTAGCGCATTCTGTGACTGGCTCATACAACTACGGTACGTTCATTTTTCAACAAGTTGGCTACAGCTGGTCCATATAGATGGGACGTCTACTTCAGTATCTAATAGTCAATGGTAACGAGCCACTTTTTAGCCATTGCCACAGTGTAAATAGTATTGTGTAAATAGTATTTTAGTATTTAAGTAATATGACGCAGTCATGCCGATTTCATCGGTCAACGACTTAGACTCCAAGTATCAAGTAAACTAGTAAGTATGACATAATGGTAAATGTGGGGCATAAGAGTGTACCTCGTTTCAGTAATGAGAACATTTTTAATGTTTGTCCTCCTCTCGCGACCCACAAAAATTACTCCTGCGACCCATAGTTTGGGAACCGCTAGGCTAGAAGTCTTGTTTTGGGATAGGCTAAATTTGGTTACCATAGGTAGGTATCTAACAAATCGGGTACAGTTTCTTAACTGGGCTAATGTATATAGTAATATCGATTTAAATTATCGATTCAATTAGTCCTTCATTCGATTTTTTCATTACCGGAACCTATTAGCAAGTTTGGTTGGTTAGGTTAGGTTATGACAGTTACACTTCATAACTTAGGCCTATATAACTTATGTAGGCTTAGTTAAAAATATGAATTATTAATCGATATTTTAAATTTGATAGTTTCAATCGATATTAGCATAGCCCAGTTAGGAAACTGTACCCAACAAATCAATACCGGCGTAGTTAGGCCTACTTTTATGTTTGATAACAGGATGGTGATAGATATCATTTAGGCTACTAGGCTGCCTGGTTTTACCAACCCAAATTCTTCAACTAAACTAGGCCTAAGTTACTGCCTTTATGGCTGCACCTCCTACACTCTTGCGAATGAAGATATCGATTAATTCATTCGGTAGGCCTATATCAAGTTTGGTAAGTTAGGTTAACCTAACCTAGGGGTAACTAATCGAATGAAATAATCGATAAATTATATCGAATAATTTATATACCGATCCTATGAGTGTAGGACGTAAACTAAAGAGCAGCCAGCTTTGTTTTTACAAAAAAATGTAGCACATAAGAGGGTAAGCAATGTCTTTTTACCTTTATTTCTGCCTTTCCACCAACTGATTCCTTCGCCTGATAAACATTCTTTACTCTAGTGAAGATTGTACATCTTGAAATATGATGAAACCCCTTTAAGCTTTTATAACAAACACACATAGAAGTACCAAATTTTTTTAACATTGTAGTGGCAATTATGTTTTAGGGGATAAAGGTTTTGGTAGAGTTATATTGATATATGAATAAGATAAAATAAGACTGAATAGCAAAATCGTCAAAACCTAACCTATTTCATCCGTAAGAATGAAACCGTCAGTGCCCAGCTTTAGAAAATATGACATAAAACTGAAATTAGAAACTTGTGAAACACATTGATTCATATATGTTACGGTAAAAAAAAGTTTTAACTTTCTATTAACAAAAACTACAGTTAGACGCGTAAACAATCAGCAGCACAGAACCTCTTATTCTCTAGGGACAGCTGCCACCACCAGTCACCAGTCCATTAATACTCCATCCATATAGCTGAAACGCTGAAAAGCTTGAAAGCTAGCTGAAGGCTGAAGCTGGCTGAGCTGATTGATTTGATGCTGCACAGGAGGAGCAGACTATTTTATTTCCCAATTTTCTTCTTCTTCTTTTCTTTTGCTTTTAAAAAGTTGGCTTGGCTAAACTACCATGTAGCCACACTATTTCAACTTACTAGGTGGCGTTCGCAAACGCGTCCACAAAATTGAGCGGAGTCATTATAATGCGATTTCATTTACCCCCACCATTAACATAAAGCTTCAAAATAATTTATCCTACAATCTCAAATAGACGAAAGATTGTGTAGGGATAACTTTTACAGATTGGCCAGTTAATTTCAAAGAATGTGAACATTTCGAACAAAAACTCAAAAATTATTATAACAGTGATACCAAACTGTTTATCTTCGACTAGTTCCTTTCTCAGCCGTTCTATTGAAAATCCTGGGTCGAAAATCAGTCCATATAGGTATCGTTCGGACGGGCTCACTGCAACACGTCAACACAGCACTGAATTATCTTAGTCCAATATCAACAACTGCTTGGTTCAGGGTTCTGCCTTGGAATTCGTGAAAGGCATGTGTAAAAAATGGTTTTCGGGTGCACTTGCACGATGCCACGTTTTACAAATTTAGTTAAAATAATAGGGACAATTTGTACCACATAATTGTTTAATGTGGGTCCTTTATAATTACTAATTATCCAACTAATACACATAAAAGCTGCATTTTCAAAAGTGATGAGACTTCTTCACGTTCGTATATAATTTTGTGGACAGTACCACGGCCACCTTTCGCCGCGGCCTTCGAAGTGGCAACGTCGCAAGTGGTGTTGTAACTGTTTTGTTTGGAAACAGCTAATCAGCAGCTAATGGTATTTTTGTATTTACGAAAGATTGGTTACTGGATTATGACAATATTGACTCTGCTTAATATGAACAGATATAGATTTTTAATTCATATTGTTCCGGTTTTCAATTCTGTGTTCATACATTTAAATTTAAATCAATAAAGTGCGAATTAATGAGCTGATGTCACCTGTCTGCCATGTTATCTTATGGGACGTCTGTCACCAAACAACACCACTTGCGACGTTGCCAATTCTACAAGGCCGCGGCCTGTAGTTAAAGGTGGCCGTGACAGTACGTGCCAACATCACCATCCTGCACTAATCCTGCATCGGTTCGAAGGTTTTGGCGTTAAATGACTCTACATCGTTTGGCTTATCTAAGGATGTTTTCAAAAGATTTGCATTAATCGGAACTCAATATTGCGTCTATTGAAGGTTTGTTTATGACACGAATGAATGCTACAGGACAAAGCAGCTTAGCCAAGGTGGGTTACACACTATGGTGCGACTCGCACCGTGCGACATGCATTTTATTGCGACTAGCAACATGCGAGTCGGATGGCTATAGCAAGCGCTTCACACTAAATGCTATTCTCAAAATCACGCTGGACGCAAACACAGTAGAGTTTCATTGTTAACTAGAATTTTATGGTTACGGAGCACGTGCCGGGGGCTACAAGAAAACATGTGACGTGCATGCAACTGCGAGTCGCAAAACACCGACTGGTTGGTTTCACGTAGCATGTTATTTTTATATATTTTTTTAATTGGTAGGTGGAATGCGTTAAGCACTTTCCGATACGTTGAGCGCACCTCCTGGAGCGCCCGACGTGCCGGTGGAGTGTGGGATTCCTACGGGTGTCACCGTAGTATACCCACTAAACCACCTACCCCCTCCCTGTCCTTGCTCCCGGGAGGGTGGTCGCAAAGTAGCAGGCTGGTGCTGTGCTGCTTGAAGATCTTGCTGGGGTTGTCATTTCATGTACTAACTAACGTAGCATGTTAGTCAACAAATCCTCTAAATAGCACGTTACAAATACCGTACAGAGAAAAAGGGAAGAACAATCGGATTAATATCATTGAGCATAATTTACTACAAAATGAATAACCAAATATGGTCGCCAGAATAAGGCTGATGCACCACTGACTTTTAATAATCCAAATATACTGTAGCCATTCCGTTTATGTTGCCCAAATATAGGCCTACCATTGAGTTTGGATACGGCAAGTAGACTTTCCATTTTATGTGAACTAGATGTACCATTGACTTGGATACTGCGAGTAAACAATTCGTTTACGTGAACCCACGACGTATCATTGACTTTGGATACTGCAAACATGGCATCTTATTTATGTGAACCAAATGGACCAATGACTTTGGATTCTGCAAGTAGATTTCTCATTTATATGAAGCAAGCGTACCTACAATTGATTTTAGAAATACTGTAAGTAGACAATTCATTTACATGAACCAAATATACTATTAAGTGTGGATACTTCAAGTAAACAATTTTTCTACGTGAACAAGACGTACCATTCACTTTAGAACCTCGAACCTGTAAATAGACATTCCATTTAAGTGAACAAGGTGTACCATTGACATTGGATACACTGCCAGCACATATTTAATATATGAGAACCAGATTAAACATAGACTTTGGTTCCTGGAAGTAGACAATTCATTACGTGATTTTTGCTCAGGGGGTAAAATTCTGCTACCCCCATTTAAACTTCAAACAAAGCTATTGAACAATTTACAACAAAAAAATACGGTAGGGGCTGTAATAAGCATAAATTTAGGAGATGTAAACTTTTTTAATTTTTATATTTAATATCCTAAACATGATTGGTTTTTGATTTAAACTTTTTTAAGTTTAAAATTTCTCAAAACTTTTCATTAATTTGTCAGTTCACAAGTGATAGAATCCTAGAACTAAGATCCATTTTGCTTTAAAAGCTGATTTTATGGAATAACCCTTCATGTATAACAAATAATTTAAACACATTTCACAGAATTTTCATGGTTCTGTGTTCATTTCTTATGCAAGGACATGAAAAACAATGTTAAGGTACATTTTAATAGCAGATTCTACCTCAAAAATCAAAAGGGTAAAAATAAAACTCAGTAGTCCTAGTGTTTAAATGCTTTATATTTTACAATATTTGATACAAATAACACTGGGATAACGTTCCAAAAAATATATACACAATATACATAAAATATCCTTTAGGGATATTACCTTAAAAGCAGCTCCAGAGTACCTATATTTTTTTACATGTTCAAAACAATAAAATATCATAATTACTAAAGTAAGCATAATTAGCATTTCTTTAATTTTTTTACAATTTAAGAACTTTTTATGGCAATAAAGATTTTATGTTTACCTCTTTAACATAATTTGTTAATATTTGTTTAACTACATTTAAAAAAATCTAAACTACTAATAATGATAAAATTAGTATTAAAAATCTATTGATTGCACTAAATTGTCAATATAAATCATGTAAATTTACCATATACTGCTTTTAAGGCTATCATGCATGATGGTAATAAATAACTAACATTAATTTAGTAGAGTTCTAAAAAGGCACAATTTTACAGCACACTAAAAGTGTATGGCAAAAGTTATGATTTAAGTAATGTGGTCATTATTATTTTATTATTTATACTTTTTTATGGCTTGGGATTCCAATGAAAAAACAAATTGAGTACAACAAATTTTGTATTGAGTGGTATGTAATGAAAGTCTTATGTGTAAAAGTATTACAAATAATATCAGTTGACAGTTTAAGAAATTAACAATAGGTAGTAACGTGTTGTAGTTTTATTATTTTAATATTGTGAACACTAATTGGTGAAGCCTGTCCTACAGAGCATCAAAGCCTTAGCACATTGAGATTTGAGACTAAAGGTCCAATTCCTATGCGGCGACTGATACGACTCTAGTCTAGAGCCGTACGTACGGCTCGGGACGTTTGTCTTAATTCCTATGCCGCGACTCCTGCGACTCCCACGACTATAGTGACTAGTGCAATTGCACTCTTGACCGTCGTGGAATAAGCACAGCGATTATATTACTTGAAGAAGAGGAGGAAAAGGAAATGTGCATGGTAAAATACAATGAACAACCAGTAAGTAAATACATTGTTCTTGGTACGGCGAAAAGAGGGGTTTCAGAGTATTCTCATTCAGAGAAATCTTCTTCAAGTATTGAGGGTGCTTGGGGTTGAAAACGTATGGGTGGTGACGAACCAGTTCCATCAACTTTGAATCATCTATCAAGGTACACACCTCAAACTCTGTATGTATAAACTATAAATCTGTTACAGTCGCGCGACTGGACTGCTCACGGAGAAGTCGAGTCATGACGACTTTAGCCGCGCGGCTCTAGTCGCTCCAGTGGCGCGACTGTAGATGCTCGATAGGAATGGGTTGCATTTACTTTGCATTGAAGCAGTAGATTTTTACAGCTGCGCAACTAGGGTCGTAACAGTCGCAGGATAGGAATTGGATCTTTATATATAATTGTTTTCAGCAATATCAAAACATTTGAAATGGTATTGTAAGTTAAAAAGCAATGTTTTATATTTGCAAATGACTGAGCATACTGTATTGTACTTCAAAGTGAATACTTGAAATAAAAAAAAAACTTGTGTCCTAGTATTGTTTTCAAAATCAATAATTCTTATGGATGATATTATAATGAACATGCCATGACAACCTGAAATATATTTTACTTAATAACTAAAAACTTGTATAACACAAACAATTATTAACATTTAAACAACAAAATGGTTTTTTCTTATTCTTTTTCTATACAGTTTATTTTTGATGATGGATAAAACCACGATTAGCTTCTAAAAGGTATTAAAATAAAAAATAAAATACTGAATCCCCATTTTACTAAAGATTGGGTTTGGTAGAATTGAAAGTTTCATTTGAATGTTAATGCAAGGTCAATGTAAAACAAAAAATATATAATAATACAAATCAAATGACTTAAACCTTAGACCCTAAATTGTGAAGAGTTAAAAAATAAATTATACAATTGACAACAATTTAACTTCCCGAGCCTGCCTGTAAACTGAAGGAATATCTTCTTTATAAAATAATTTATACAAATTAACTTATTTTATCTTCTAACAAAATATTACTCTCAAATTTTCACAAAACTTTAGGATCAACTAGAGCTCAAACTAAACAAATTTTACTTCTTAAGGATTTTCCTTATTTTTCCAGAAGTACCTATCTAAAATAAATAGCCTACAATTAGTAATATGTTTTTATATATTTTAGTATCCTTACAAGTTAATGTTAGAAAAAACAGATTAGTGACTTGTTGTGAATAAATTTGAATAGTGTAAATGAAGTGTGTAAAATAACAAAATAAACTGCATCACCTCTTCTAACAAAACTATCTATTCTGGTACAAATCTAACTTTATACTCTGTACCGGTAGCTGAAATTTATATATTTCCAAAGGCTTAATTATTAATAAAGACAAACAGTACCAAATTGTTCAATAATTTAGTAATACTATAGGTGCTAATATAAAACAAATTAGTTTTTAACAATATATTATTACAAACATATAATACACAGCTTGTACAAAACTATGATTATTTACAGCTTAAAATTAATAATAAAAAACGTTAAATAGAAATTACAATATGAACAAAGACACCGAGATGTGATGTGGTACAACATGTGCGATGAGAATGAGACCAGACATGTTACAACATGGCGAGTTGCTGCATTTTCTCCTTGTGGATGAGCTCTTCTCGCTTCTTCAGCTGTTTGCGCTCCTTGGCTCTTCTGTTTTGGAACCAAATTTTGACCTGGAAGACAAATTCACAATTACATACCGGTACTTGTCTACGTAAAAATTACAAAAAGTACAATGATGACGAAACGATTAAAGATAAATGAATATCTGAATGGTGGATTCACTCATTAAATTATAAATACTGAAGAAAACATCCCCATCTACAGCTAACGTAGCTAAGCTATGTCCATTTCCATTTTAAAACTGCTAACACCTTTAAAATGAGAATGGAATCCATACTTAATGCAATATTGGGTTTATTTCTCTGTACATCCCTCTTTTATCTGTCCTAGTTAACCAATTTTCACGATTGATGTCTAAAGCTTATTTCTAACTCACATGCGAATGGTAACAAAAAAAGGAATTTCCTTGGGGCTTTGCCACCTTGTGTTTAAATCTAAATATATAAAAGGCAAAGCCCTCACTGACTGACTCACTCACTCACTCCCTCACTCACTCACTCACTCATCACTAATTCTCCCACTTCCCATTTACCTAGGAGGCTGAAATTCGGTACACCGATTCTTTGGGCATTAAATAGGAAAACTAAGTAGTTTTTATTCTGATAGGGCTTTCGGGCTCCGCCCCAGAGGCTCTGGAGTTTCCCATGTTAACCTTATGATTTTTCATATTTAAAAGGAATTAATGAATCTTAACAGCTGTTTCAATTAAACAAGTTGGTTCTGTTCTGTGATGTTCAACAGCATTAAAGTTACAAGGATTACCAACAAGGTGTAGCACTATTATTTTTTTAAATTATGACTACAGCCAATTTGCAACCAAAAGGTGAGTGAGCGTAGCGAACGAACTTCAACCTGGAAGCGAGTTAGCGTAGCGAACGAGCTAACCTGAAGGCAAGTGAGCGGAGCGAACGAGCTCCAACCTAAAGGTGAGTGAACGTAGCGAACGAACTTCAACCAGGACGTGATTGAGCCATGCGAACGAGCTCACTTGTGAAGTTAAACAGGGCAAAGCCCGTGGGTACAGCTAGTTATTTCTAAAGTAGTATTTATAACGGAATATGAATTGTAATCTAACAGCTGATCCTTCAGTTGGAGTCAGATTGTAGACAAGAGACAGACAAACAGTTTATGAAAAATTTATTTTAAATTGTCTACGGTACTTTTCTAATACAATTGCAGCCTGATTGAGGTAGGTAAACCACTCAAGTCTTTAAGGTGTAGGTGTTGATCTTTGAAAAAGGTATTGAATTATTATTTTTACCTTGTAATTAAGTTTTGAACTCTAAAAGGCCCAATTTTTGCATTGGTACCCTCGTGTCTCCTTATACCAGTTCTATTAAGATTCTATTAAGTAACTCTTATTTCCTGTTTTTTATGACAATCATTCTCCTTATACCAGTTGTCAAAGATTCTATTAAGTAACTCTTATTTCCTGTTTTTTATGACAATCATTGATTTATTTTAACAAAATCCAAACAATAATAATAATTTGAAATAATAAAGGAAGACATCCAGCGATTCACACACCTGTTCACTGAGGCAGCTTCATATTGCCATACAGTTTTTCAATAACAACAAAAATAATATTTAAATATGATTCCTCATTGTGGCCATTACATGGCCAAAATTGGCTTGCAATCGACTGCATTTAAAGAAAATTATACTTTGAATTGAACCAACTGAAAGGTGCAATTTCACCTTTCAACGAGTAGTAGTGATACTGTAACACAGTTACAGTTAGTTACTAGTTACAGCTGTACAGTTGTCTAAAGTTAGTTAGAGGTCAAATTATTTTATTTATCATAACACAAATAATTGATTATGGTTTACACAATTTTCATCTATACCCAGGGTCACAACTCTACCACAAAGCCAGTTGGTAAAACTTCAACCAGAGCCTTTAGGACACAAAACCTGCAATCTAATCACTAACGTGAGTATAACTGTGGACATTCTCGGATATATTACCTGTCTCTCGGATAGTCCCAGGTTGGTCGCCAGTTCCGCCTTCCGTCTGATGGTGATGTAGCGACTATAGTGGAACTCTTTCTCCAGCTCCAGACGCTGATGATCAGTGTATACCACTCGATACTTGTCTTTCGTCCTCGTCTTGCCTGTAACAACACAACCTGATCAGTATTCTGCCTGATGGTGATGTAGCGACTGTGACTGTAGTGGAACTCCTTCTCCAGCTCCAGACGCTGATGATCCATGTACACCACTCAGTAATTGTCTTTTGTCCTCGTCTTGCCTGTAACAACACAACCTGATCACTATTCTGCCTGTTGGTGATGAACAAATGTAGTGGAACTCCTTCTCCAGCTCCAGACGCTGATGATCAGTGTACACCACTCGGTACCTTGTCTTGCCTGTAACAACACAACCTGATCAGTATTCTGCCTGATGGTTATGAACGAATGTAGTGGAACTCCTTCTCCAGCTCCAGACGCTGATGATCAGTGTACACCACTCGGTACCTTGTCTTTCGTCCTTGTCTTGCCTGTAACAACACAACCTGATCAGTATTCGGCCTGATGGTGATGAACGAATGTAGTGGAACTCCTTCTCCAGCTCCAGACGCTGATGATCAGTGTACACCACTCGGTACCTTGTCTTTCGTCCTTGTCTTGCCTGTAACAACACAACCTGATCAGTATTCGGCCTGATGGTGATGAAAGAATGTAGTGGAACTCCTTCTCCAGCTCCAGACGCTGATGATCAGTGTACACCACTCGGTACCTTGTCTTTCGTCCTTGTCTTGCCTGTAACAACACAACCTGCTCAGTATTCTGTCTGATGGCGATTAACAACTGTAGTGAACCATGAACCATGAACCTTATGCTGAACTACTAATTTTATTTATTGGTGTTTACTTGTCCAGTTACTTCTTTTGGCAGGAATAATGTGTGGAAAAATAATGTGTAATCAAGGAGGGTTCCTTGATTACACATTATTTTTATATTATTATCATCAGTACAACAAAAACTTAACTCTCAGGAACCACTACACAATCTGTGTTAATGTTAATCAACATTGATAAGGTAACCTTTGATAACACATGTCATTGCTATTTGGTAGATTATCACTTAAATGTGGGGAAATGGGTCGACCAATAATAGGTATAACTTGGTTTGGGATTTTAAATTCTTAAATCTGTTATTGGAGTTAGGTGAAGAACTTCAACCGGAAAGAAACATAAACATAAATCTTGAATATTACTAGTAGATATTCATCACCCCTTTTCCATGTGAAAGCTAAAGCCAGAATTAAATTCAAATATACATAGTAGAGTTGAGCCACGGACGGACGACAATATACTATGGATATGCCTATGATGGTTGGATAGGTCTACCGAGAGTGGACCGAGGAGCGTGAAGGGTGTTGGATAATGCTATCAAGTTCCGCCCGCGAGTGTCAACATCAACATCACACACCTGTTACACAAAGAGGGGATCAGAGCGGCCATGTTGTGTTATCAGGGCGGGCGAGATGTGAGGCGGCATCTTTGAGTGATAACAGATATCAGGGAATTACAGCCAGATATCAGGCGTCCATTGTGGCTTGGCGGCAAATCCACGCGCACAATGTCATCAGTGTGATGGTCAACTTGAAGTTTGTTTGAAGTGTGACGAGATACGAGATGGCTGTTTCGCGTAATTTTAATGAGGAGCAAATAATTTGCAGGTGCACCTTTCTGGTCTGAAACTAGAAATGGTTTTTAGATTCAGACGATAAATTCACACGCACAACAATTTTCCTGAGATTGTCATCTTAAAGTTTGACTGTGTCACATAGCTCATCAAAACACATTTTTCAAGTGTTTGGAACATTTAATTTCTCATCGGTAAATTCGTCGTAGAACAATGTCCGTTAATTTTCTGAGATAAGTTGGAAAAATAGCTCTGTAGACTTTTAACATTTTCAGAAAAATTCTTTACCCCAGTTTTTGAAGCGAAGGGGTCCATGATTGGATATGGTTATCTCCATAACCACACATTCAAATATAATTTTCTTAATATTTTTTTTTCAGTTAAATCGAAGAATCTTCACGAGAGTTGTAGGACTAACAAAACAATAACAATCGTAACAAACAGTGTTTTGTCAACCTGGTCCTACGGTGTGTAATAAATATTATAAGTCTGGCAGAAGCTCGAAGGACTCCAGCGGATTAGGCGACCCTTCGCCCACGCACGCGCACTCACCAGCGGCTGCTCAATACCTGCCCCATCCCTCGCCCGCCCGGCAGGTGACTCATCACTGGCTTGCGGCCATAACAAATATGAAAATGAAAATTTTTAACATTTTTTTGTTTTAATTGCAATTATTTGAATTGACAATAAAGTTGTGAGTTTAACAAGCTAAAATTCGACTTTATCCCACGACTTTAGGCTTTGAAAACACTATTTTGATTTCTGGGGTATAGGTTTTTGCATAATATTTTATCAATGTGAGTTAGCTTTTATAAGTACTATGTATAGCTATGTATAGTTAATGTTGTAGGTCAAATATTTCCTAATTGGCAACCAACTTAAATTTAAAAAAAACTTAGAATAAAAAGATGCATTAAAATAAACGGTAGGTTTGTGTCCAAATTTACAAAGGGATTCTTTTACGTGACGGGGTCTTAGGTAGCATTATAGACCAATTTTCCATTAATTAAAAGGTGGTTAATGATTGTTGTGTCTGTTTTTAAAGTACTATTACAGACTAAAAACCATATTAGAATGTGGTATTAAAACTTAAGATGGTTAAACCCTTTTTACTTGCGGCGCATTGGACCGCACGGGCTTACTACTTAATATTTATTTTTTTAAACGTAATGGTTAAATAGAGATTTGATTAAGTTATCCCTTTTTAGAGTTTGGGTTTGCTCTGTAGACCCTACGGTGGAGGTTGTAGCTTTGCGATATTTACCAGACCCGTTATGCCAAACTGGGTTTCACTTTGTTGTTATTATTATTATTAGTTTCAATATTATTTTTAAGTGTGTGTGTCAGTTATTTATAAATTGATATTTTTTACCGTTTTATTTGTATGTCATATTTTGAGGCTAATAGTACGTGTTTATCATATTTTAAAGTTTTTAATTAAAACCAATTTTTTCCATTTTTACCCACTAAGCCAGAAGCCAGACTAAGAATTTAAGTATAGCCTTTAAAAATATCTATCAAACTCAAACTGGTTCTTACGTTGTACTGAGTATTATAACTTATTACGTATGTATATATTGTACATTTGTATTTTTCTAAGTCCTCTACGTTATTGCGTATCATAGTATTGGAGATTAATAAAAGATTGTTTTTAAAGGAACTTGAATTTATTTTAAAGACCTTTGATTAGTGCGTATCAAAAGCTTACTCATCACAACTAAATATTATGCAACACACTTTTCATACAACCTAGAAATAAAAATAGTGTTTTTGAAAAATTGAAGTCTTGGGATCAAGTCGAATTTTACCTTGATAAACTCACAATTTTATTGTGAAAACAAATAATTGCAATTGAAACGAAAAATAATAAAAAATTGCATTGTCATCTTATTTACTGGCGCAAGCCAGTGGGGAATCACCGGCCGCCGGGGGAGGGAGGGGCAGGTACTGGGCCGCCGCTGGTGAGTGAGTGTGTGTGTGTGTGTGTGAGTGAGGGTCGCCTAATCCGCTGGAGTCCTTCGAGCTTCTGCCAGACTATAAATACTTCATACTTCCATAAAGTCTCAGAAAAATGAAATAACACAGCTTATTATAAAATCAAATCAAACATTAATTACGTACCTCGACTGTCAAAATTTTCAACACAATCGACACAATCGTTGTGAAATGTTCAGCGTTTCGACAATAAGGAACATCGCGTCAGTAGAGGGCGCGGAGCCAAAACACTATGCAAAGTTTTATTGAGAGGTTAGTTTTTGTTAAACGGCCATAAAGCCCAACTGGGGAGGATTGGGCGGTATCCAATTAGGGGAGGGCGGAAACGTCGCCCAAGGGAGACATTGGCGAGATCGAAAACCACGATTACAACCCCCTCCCCTCCCCCCAGCCCAACAGTGAGCCGCGGTTATGCCGTTTGTAATTAATAGGGATTTGATTTAGTGACAACATTTGTCAAGCGTTCACGAGATCGTTCCAGTCCCTGGCAGCCTGCGGATTTGACTTGGTTAAAATCATCGCATTTGAAAATATTCTGATATCATACAATTAACGAGTTCATATTTATTTATTGACGGGAATCCCTTTTTACAGACAACAATAATTATAAGAATGAACTAGGGGGACCGTGCGCAAGTTGCGTAGTTAGGATACAAACTTGTTTCCGAGACTAAATGGCTCCAGTGCAATATCTATTTGACTTTTCAAGATAATTTTTTTAGAACAGTTTCGTAAAAAATCGGTTAAATAGGACGGTTGGAAAAGGGATGTGACTGGGAAAAATGTTATTGTATTAACAACAGTATATAAATAGAAGATTTTAAGAATCTTACGACTACTGACTAGCTAAATTGGTAATTAATCAATAAAATAATTTGGAAATAAAAATAAAATGTATTGCTTTAGTAAAAAACTTTCAAAAATCAAACTAAGGTTATTTGTTTTTATATTTATAAAAAAAACTAATTATAAACTCAATACCAAGTGTTCAGTAAAGGCCAGCTGACCATATGAGCATATTAAAATAATCCCCACATGTCAACAACAATACAATAATAAAATTTTAAAAATGTAAACATTCCAAGGTAAACATTCTGGTTCAAGAAGTGCAACTTTTCTCTCTTGTAATATCGTTTCTTTGTGTAACATAATTCATTTCTCTCTCCTTTTATTTTGACTTATTTCATTTACCTTTTCCTTTTGTGTTCATTAAATAAACCCTTTTTAATTTCACTCTAAATTCTGTGTACCTACTGTGAGAACATTTGGACATTAATGAAACATATTATCTTCTCAACTAGAGCCAACATTCGACCAGATCTTCTTTCAAGACCTTAACGTCATGAAGTGGTAACATAACTATAGTTCAGAATTAAAAATTATACCAAAAGTCCAATATTTTCTGTTGTCAAAATTAAATTAATAACCCATATACAGTCCACTTTATTATTTCTACAATAACCTTTTGA